TGCACACCATCAAGAATGTGTGCTATTGCGGCGCGGCAAGATGCAAGGGATACATGTTCAAATGCTAGCTCGTACTTTCTACACAATGCCATCAGGGGAAACACGCCCCTTTTATCAGGTCGGCTGCCCTTTCGGCAATGGCAAAGACTGCTGCTTGGGTATGTGCACTCGGGATAAACGGCTGCAAACGCTCTCAGCAAGGATATGTATGACCAAGACACGACCCTTGCCATCACACTCGCATCGACTACTCTGACCCCGAACACATCTTTCAGAAGCAGATTAGATGCGACAACTGAACCCATCGCAGCGCCGCCGACGAGATGGAAGGACGGGGTGGTCTTTTTGCGGATGTGCGTTTCTAACTCGGACGTGGTCAGCACGAGGAGGTCCTCTGTCGGTTCGCCTATTATATCGGCCCAGGCAGGTGCCGCAAAGAACTCGTATGCCTTATTGACGGCAGCACCCAATATCTGCACGTCGTGTGGATCAGAGAGCAGTCCCAGGTCAACCACGGGGTCTGACAGCGGATTCGACGAGGAGAGGCTAATCTGTCCGCCTGCAAAAGCTCAACGTCAGTCAAAAACTCGTGAACCATCTTACTCACGACTCGCAGGGGACACCGCCACCACTCCAGCCGTGATAAAGTGCCCCGGCTTGGCCCCGAAGTCAGCTTGCCCCGGCTGACAGTGTCAGCGACGATCAAAATAAGCCAGAAGACGCACGGAAAAGAAGAGCTCGATATGCGGGGAATCTGGGCCGGCAGTGGTATCCTTGGTCTTGAGCGCAGGGGAGCCTGGGTCGAATCTCAGCCACGCGATGTGCGTCGGCCCAAAAGCAACGAACGGGCCCCTTCTGGTCTGATTCCACTCCTTCAATCCAAGTTGCCATGCGGTCTGGTTCGACGCCAGATCGTCAAGCGTGAAGTTGAAATTGGCATGGAAAGAAACAGGCATGTAGGGCTGATCTGTGATATTCTTCCCCACACTAGGGTTGTTGACAAGTACCGAGATCCCAAGAGACGATAGCTCAGAAGCGGGACCAATGCCAGAGTAAAGCAGAATCGAAGGCGTTCCGATGGACCCCGCCGAAAGAATGATTTCCTTCTTTGCAAAGGCGGTGTATCTTTCGTTGGCGAGCGTGAAGTCCACGCCCCGAAAGCCAGGTTTTCCGTTCGTTCGATAAGGCTGCGAGAGGACGGTGGCACGTGCGCCGATGAGCACATGTAGATTCTTCCTCCTTAGTGAGTCCAGGTACCCCGTGGCCGAGCTGCTTCGTTCCCCGCCACCAACACTTGACTGCAGGTAACCAAATCCAAGCGGGACTCCTGAGTTCATGTCCAGATTGAACGGGAAATCGTTGAGAGATCGGGCAACTTTGACTATCATGTCGGAGTAGACGGGCCATTGGTAACCGTTCAGACTGATTTTCACGCCGGTTCCTTGTTCCAGACCAGTTGCATGGGTCCTGATATCATGCACGTAGGGATTAAACTCGCCGATCGTTGAATGGTTGTCGGCCGGGGCAGTCCAGCGTTCGCTCTGTCCGTCCGGTCAATGCATCGTTCATCGCTTCCTCGTCACGAACCTTGAGAAAATAAGGAAACATCGCGTTCCACGACCATCCTCCGTCACCCGTAACGCTGGCATACCGATCCCAGTCGTCCCGCGAACCACGCGTCCAAAACATTCCATTGTGCGAGCTGCAACCTCCGACCAAGTGGGCCCTGAAGTATTCAAGAGTCCTGTTCTGCAATCCCCTTTGAGGAGTTGTTGTATAGTCTTTGAGGTCGTCAGATCCAATCAAGGACCGATTTCAATGGGGAAATGCATACTCCAACTGTAAGGACCCGTTCCGAGCAGATCACCGACAAGATATGGCACCTGGGCTGCTAGCACACCCCGATGACTAGATCCTACTGTTAACAGATGGACACAGGGTTAGGGAGACGATGCGATACGCACGAGACCCCAGCTTCCAGAACCAGCACCGACACGCCCGGCTGCTCAGTCAGACGGTTGGCGATGACAAGCCCGGCGGTACCTCCTGCACTCCGGATCAGCAATCAAAACGCAATGTTTAAAAGATATCGCACCGCCGACGACGACGAAATCGTACGACAGACCTGGCAAGTCCGCTACGCTGGTGTAGATCTGATGCGCTTGAGTAGTGCCCCGTAGGAAGATGAGAGAGAAGACGAAGAAGTTGAAGAGACAGAAAGTGTCGTAGAAGAGGCGAATCATTCTGGCGCGAAAATCAGACGATTCATGGCCTTCTGCAATGTCTTATGGCCTCGAAAGCTAGGCGCGAACGAGGGTATGTAAGGGTGGCGTTCCTTCTCGAACTGCCTTGAAGGCCAGGTTAGTCGATTATGTACGTTTATGAGTTTAGGCGTGGATCAATGCAACCGGGAGCACCGGGCTGCAAGACCGCGATATATTTATTGCCAAAGAGGCTTCTAGGATTGCGGTGGTGAGCAGAGGCGAATAATTGTTGGATCTTCGGGAGTATCATGTTGCTATCTCGTAAGAAAAAAGTGCCGGTCCTATGTAGATCGGTCGTTTCAGATTTGAATGTGGACCAAGTCCGAGGTAGCAACTGGAAGGTTATTAGTAGCGGTAGCCCGATGGAGAAAGGTGGCCATCAGAATGGACGACACGCGGCAATCAACTCTGCTACGCTTTCACCAGTAAGCACCTTGCAGTGCCTGCACCCTTCTACACCCCTTCTACTTCCCCGTCCCTCTCGCCAATGGCGCGCCCCCTTCCAGCGACCCTCAAACGCATTCAGAAAGAAATTTCTGACCTGCGAAAGGAACAAGCTGATCTGGGTGCCATCACACTGGCACCGTCAGACGACCTATTCGTATGGAGCGGGTCCTTACCGGGCCCGGAAGGCAGCGTCTATGAGGGCGGGGTGTTTCGGTTCAATATGCAACTCCCAAGAGATTATCCTTTTGGAGCTCCCAAAGTGACGTTTTTGACTCGGTGTGTCCAAGGCTACACCAGGTCTCATCAGTGCTGACGGGCTCGGATTTCAAGGATATACCACATGAATGTGCGTGGCGTCAGAAACTGTTTGTATGAGAGGAAGCGAGAGAGAGAGCACTGACATGTCTATCACAGATCAGCGAGCAAGGCAATATATGCCTTGACATCCTCAAACATAACTGGTCTCCCGCGTTGTCTCTTTTCAAAGTCATCTTGTCGCTGTCTTCTCTCCTTACCGACCCAAATCCGAGTGCGCTCATTTCGTCTCTCTTACCGGCATCGCCTTGAGCTAACTTGCTCCACAGAAGACCCACTAGGTGTGAATATGTCCGAACTTTACTCGTGCTTATTGTAGCTCACACCCTAATTCAGTTCCAAGCATCGCCAACCAGTATATGCGCAACAGGAAATTACACGATCAGACGGCACGACAGTGGACCGATGCGTACGCACGTGCAGCGAAGCCTCCTCCAGCAGTCGCCTCTGGTTCCGATTCTCAGCAACGCCCTCCTACCGTCGCTCCCCCAGCGCGAGCTGAGTCGAGCACCCGCCATCGGCCTATATTGATTGACGTCTCAGACGACGAGGATGCCCAAGAGCCTCGTGCTGCCGAATCGCGAAGGAAACGGAAACGGGATCCACCACAGAGTAGACAGTCAGCTGGGTCTAACGAGATTTTGGTGTTGACGACGACGACGACGACGACGACGACGACGTCAGAGTTACTGGCGCGTCTGAAGTCACAGCAGGAGCTTCTGGCTCAAGACGAGCTAAGAAGCCGCGGCCCTCTGTGGCTTCGCAACCTCGGAGCACAGCGGTAGCGAGCAGCAGCTCGAGAGAGATAATCGACGTTGATTGAACGGGGATCCTGGTTAGGTCTGAGTATGAGACCAGGACTGCTGCACAGCATACTCTGTACTTCGTACACCGCACATTGTACACTATTATTGCATACACTGGTCAGCTTAGCGGACTGTGTTCCGAGTCCGAAGCGCGCAGTTCAACCAGTTGGTGCTGCATGCCTCAGTCCTGAGCCCCTGGCTCCAATCGCTTGCCAATTGAGTGGCCCTCAATTCGCATGTACTCTTTCCTGAATTGGACCTCGAAAACTGAAATTATTGGGACAGGGTGCATGTGAAGAAACGTTGCAGCCTGTTTCAGCGGCTTGGTTAAAGAATCTTATCTTATCATGTTGATCAAACACGTGAGGATCCCCAATCACGTCGTACAATCACTGGCTATGTAGTTTACACGTGAACCAACTTTTCGTCCTCCTCCTCAAGGTGAGCAGCGTTCTCGCCAATCGACGTTTCGTTGAACCAACTTCTCAGACATGCCGACCCATCTCTCCAAGACCCGCAAGCACCGCGGTCACGTCTCTGCCGGACACGGTCGTGTTGGAAAGCACAGGAAGCACCCCGGAGGTCGTGGTCTTGCCGGTGGTCAGCACCACCACCGTACAAACTTCGACAAGTACCACCCTGGTTACTTCGGTAAGGTTGGTATGCGTCACTACCACCTTACTCGCAACGCAACGTGGAGGCCGATCATCAATGTGGACAAATTGTGGTCGTTAGTGCCGGAGGAGGAAAAGAAGGGTCTCACTGCCGACTCTGATGTCGTTCCTGTTATCGACACACTTCGCTTTGGCTATGGGAAGGTTCTGGGCAATGGATTGTGCGTAAACTCGACTCAAACGGCCTGGATCATGTCTGAATGTGTGCTCAGGCTGCCAAAACTGCCTTTCATTGTGAAGGCACGCTTCGTCTCTGCAATCGCCGAGTGGGTGCCCTTCTTTACACTCTGCGCAGTATTTCTCAATCAATTTCAGGCGCAAAATCAAGGAGGCTGGTGGTGTCGTGTCTTTGATTGCATGAATTCATACTTTCTTGTTCTCCACTGCTATGTACCACATGAATCCTCATGCCCATGTCACCTGACAGCCATTCTGGTTCCCTTCACCTGCCTGTCCTGCCTGTTTTGAATCGGACACAACGGTGCTGTTTGTTATTAATCTCCGTATGAGTCATCCACATCGTACATTGCTCCCTGTGCAGCAGCCGACATGACTGCTTTGCGACGGTCAAAGTCGGCAGCGCCATCTCTGTAAACCTGTAATAGATCTTGACCTATCAGCCCATTCTCGAGATCCCTTGACCTCCACCGAAGCAAGTCCCTGATAATGTCCGATTGCCAGGGTGCAAGCTGTGGGCTGCGTTCGAATATCATGTGCTGGAGGACGGCTGCAGCAAGATCGCCCTGTCGTTGCACAGTGTGAGAATTTTTCGAGGAAAGCTCTTGCCCCGCCGGTCTTGTAGGATAAGCGTCGAAGTCAAGCAGGTGTTCGGGATATTGGTTGAGAGGGTCGGAGTTGTTGGGGGAGCGGGGAGCATGGTAGTGCCAATCCTCAGAACTTTCTGAATCCTGGACAGATTCAATATCATGAGCGGATTCTTCGTATAGTCCTCGTTCCTCTCCTCTGTGGAGGAACACTCTGAGAAGAGCCTCGTAAGTGGGCAGATTGGGAGGAGCCATGAACGTATCGTCGGAAGCATCGTTGGGGTCTTGGGGCGGCATGCGTTGTTTAGAACTAGTCTCCAGTTGATGATGAAGTCCTCGCCAGACAGAGCCTGCACGAGATGGTAGAACTTGACTGCATAAATGAGGCGTTCGAGGCAAGTTTGAGGCATAATTTTCTAATACTTGACGCATATACGCTCGGGCGCTGACAGGAGTGGCCCGGGCGTTTTGTGGGTTCACATGAAAACACATATCGGCAGATGCAGATAACGGTATCTGGCACGGATCAGCGTAAGCGGCGAAAAGGAGACTTGTGATGCCCACCATGCCGGCTGCGTTTATCCATGCACTGACATCAGCGAATGGAACCTGCCGCTGATCGACCATGGTGCTCAGGATGACGAGCGCCTGCAGCACCATTCGCTGATGATGCTTGGCCCTAGCTGGAGTCAAGGCCTTTGTTCCAGTATCCGTTGGCACCACTTTCTCAGAGTTTGCAGTGGCACTGCTAGACCTGAGTCGGCCGTTGATGTGGAATAAAACACCACTGAGCCGGTAGCAGAGCTGACCAAAGAATGGCCGACTGACGGAGGCATCCTCGGCGTTCAAAACCGCGAGTTTTCGACGAAGCCCACTGACAACATGAGATGACAGCCCGGCCTTCTCCGCATTGCGCAGCACCGTCGGAAGAGTTCTGCGAGCATGATAATCCCGGACCTGTAATCCGAACATATGTGCCGCCGCAATCCAGTCCCGTTGATTCAACAGAGCTTGCCAAAGAAGTTTGGACACTAACGGGCTTCGAGGTACCAATCTATCTCTTGCATACAGATGGAGAGCTGACGCGAGACGAAGATCCGGATGGGAAACCATTTCTGCGCTGAACTGCAAGATACTCGGATTGACCTGTGTTCGATACCACTGTTGCGGTGTTTGTCGACGAGGGACAGAAGCGATCAGCTCATGCATGACTTTTGCGAGCGTGGTGGGATGAATGCGATGGGACTGGCTGACAAATAAAGGACCGCGATTGTCGTTGAGAATAAGATGTGCAGCTTCTTGATGCTTGCTGGCGCGTAGAGATGCGTGCACGAGCTTGTGTAAAGCCAGACGAGAGGACGGGTGGCCAAGACGCGTAGCGCGAATCAGATGGGATTTCGCATGTGATGAAGGGACGGGCCCATTCTTCCCGACATAAATCGTGGCAGGGGCTTCATCTCTGAAAACGTCGTCGAGAGGGATATGGGCAGGTCCGTCATCGGTTGGAGACCTCACGTTGTACCGGGCTAACTTGGGCAGCTTTTGAAGTCGGACGTTGCTTTTCAGCATGCAAAATCGTGGAAAGGTCAAGCCTGAGTCAAAAAAGGTCAGCGACGATAAAGGAGACCATGTCGTAGTGAGAGCTGACCCTCCAAGTCTGAAATGCTGCCAGTGGTAAGTCACTGTTGTCAGTGGAGACGGATCATAAGTCCGAAGCCAGTAATCCCACGCCTGTGTGGAACGACAAGGAGATGACGATTGGACAATTAATAATCCGTTCTCGTTCCTCCAGCTCCTGAAGCTCAACGGTCGGCTCTTTCCGCCCTTATGCCCACCGTCCCATCCGTATCTCCAGCGACAGGTCAACCGACAACACCGTCGTTTATCCATACGATAGACTGCAATTTTGTCGATAATGCTGGGCGCACATTACTACTTCGTGGGATCAACCTCTCAGGTTCCTCGAAGGCGCCTGTAGGTAGCCCTTCTTACAGCGGAGAAGGTTTTTGGGACACTGCGGAAGCAGGCGGAATGTCTTTCGTGGGTCGGCCTCTCAATCTGGACGATGGTTCGGCGGACGTGCACTTGGCCCGACTCCAAGGCTGGGGATTCAATCTTCTGCGGTTCCCTGTCACATGGGAGGCATTAGAGCATGAAGGCCCTGGCAAGTATGACTTTGAATTCATGGACTACACGGTGCGCGTCCTCCGGAAATGCAAAGAGTACGGGTTCCGCGTGTACATGGATCCTCACCAGGACACCGTGAGTCGCCGAGCTTTTGAAGCCAAATGATTATTCATATTATCAGTGGTCCCGCTTCTCTGGGGGCTCTGGTGCCCCATTCTGGACGCTCGCTGCATGTGGCATAAACCCTCGCAATATCACCGCTACCCAGGCTGCCATTATACATTGTGAATATCCTCAAGCTCTCGCTCCTGATCCCGCATCTCTACCAGCCATGATCTGGTCCACCAACTATGGTCGTCTCCTCTCCCAAACACTGTTTACGCTTTTCTTCGCTGGTCGTGACTTTGCTCCCAAATGCATCATCGACGGACAAAACATCCAGGATTATCTCCAGTCACACTACATCGCCGCAATGGGTCTGTTAGCAGATCGAATAGCGCTCGCCGGTGACCTTGTTGAGGATTGTGTGATTGGATGGGACAGCATGAACGAGCCTGCCGAAGGCCTTTGTGGGTGGAAGGATCTGAATTTGAATCCGCCTGCGCAAGGCTCCACACTGAAGAAAGGATCGTACCCGACGCCTATCCAAAGCTTCAGACTCGGAATGGGCCAAGCACAGACAACCGAACACTGGATTTTTGGGACATTCGGCCCGTCGCGTGACGGCAATGTAACTATCGATCCCAAAGGCCGGAGCGTTTGGGCAGATCCAGGCGACGAGCCCGATGGACGGCATCCCATATGGGGCTGGAGACGTAGTCCAAGTTGGCCACTGGGCATCTGCATCTGGGCTTTGCATGGTGTATGGGACGTGGAGACTGGCTTTCTGATGCTTCCGCAATACTTTTTATCTCTTCCCGGTGAGGACTCTCCTGTCGAGTTTCTCGAAGACTACTGGAAACCGCATTTCCTCAAATTTGGGGAGCGAATTCGCAACTCGCAGCCGGAGGCTATTTTGTTCGTGCAACCTCCGGTCTTCGCCCAGCCGCCTTCCGTCGATGCCAGTCTTCTGAAAGGCCGTTGTGCTTATGCACCACATTACTATGATGGACTGACGCTGATCACGCGACACTGGAATTGGTTCAATGCTGACGCACTCGGCCTTTTGCGGGGGAAGTACAGCTCAACGCTCCAGGCAGTCAAGATCGGCTCGGCTGCCATCAGAAACTCGTTGCGTGAGCAGCTTGGCATCCTCAAGGCAGACTCGCAGCTTGTTGGCCCGTATCCGACTGTTTTAGGCGAGATCGGAACCCCGATGGATATGGACGGGAAACGGGCTTATTACGGAGACAGCAAGGGAAGGGGCATTGGCGACTACTCTCAGCAAGAGAAGGCTCTCGATGCGAGTCTGAACGGCGCCGACGGGGTCAACAGCTTGAACTGGACAATGTGGTCGTACTGTCCCGATTCGGTCCATGAATGGGGCGATGGTTGGAACATGGAGGATCTCAGTGTCTGGTCATTTGATGATCTTCCGGACTCGGTGAAGCGTGCCAACAGCGTGTATGGGATGGGTGCCGGCAGTGCTGCCACCCTTGGTGGAGGGTACGGAAGCGAAGCTCCTTTGATCATGCGCAAGAAGACCGGCTCAGCCACAGAAACTGTGCGCACTGCGGCAACCTCATCCGTTTCCCTGACTTCGATGCACGCCACGAAACTCGTTGGCGGGCCGGAGGGTGCCGGTTGGCGGCCTGGCGTGTCCTCGTACGAGTTTCTAACAGCTGGGGCTCGGGCAGTGCGTGCTTTCTGCCGTCCTCGGCCTGTCAAAGTCGTCGGTGTAATCAAGGACATGTCATTCGATATCGCAAGCTCCGAGCTCAAAGTGGTCGTGAGTGTTGGGTCAAACGACACCTTGCCGGATGACGAGCTGGCCACGGAAATCTTCGTCCCCCTTGTCCACTACCCGCATCCTGCACTGCTTGACCCCAGTGCATTTACAGACAGCGTCGACAGTGCGAGTATCGCAGAGCCAACCCAGTCCCTTGCTCACGAGCGTTCGACCAGCGAGAAGACGGACGCAGGTATGAGCCCAGAGGAAATGGAGCGAGTCCCAGTCCTCCCATCGGAAACGATGACAGCCAGCACCAGCAGTGCAGGCACTGTCATATTCAGCGCCAAGGACATGACCATCAAAGAGGCTGCTGGTCGGCCATTGGTTGACCTGGACGTTTCCGTCAGTGGGGGTCGTTGGGCTGTGAAAGATCAGATACTGCGCTGGTGGTACCCTGTTCCTTCCGATGGCCAAGCAGATGAGACATACACGATCACCATCCGGCGTCGTGGGGGAGCTGTCAACGTTGCTTCAGAGCTGGGATGGGCAGATACTCTGTGCCCTGAGGGAGGGCCAGGCTGCGTGATCATGTAACAGCTCAAGGCTCGGACACGATTAATTTATGATATCACGACCCATGTCCTTCACGTTTCTCATTTGTATCCACTACCATAAATCTCCTTTCGAAAGCACGCCTGCATTTCCATTGAACACAAACATAACACAACGCGGATGGTTGTGACCGTGTCACTTACTTTTCGCCATCATGGCAGGCGCGTCGCGGACAGAACTACTGCAATGGCTCAATGAGCTACTCCAGCTCAATTATACGAAAGTCGAACAATGTGGCGCCGGCGGAGCGTACCTCCAGGTTCTTGACAGCATCTACCTCGATGTCCCCATGGCTCGAGTGAAGATGAACGCGAAGCATGAATATGAATACCTCGCCAATTTCAAGATTATGCAGAATGTCTTCAAGTCGCACAAGATCGACAAACCGATCCCTGTAGAGCGCCTGGTCAAGTGTAAGATGCAGTGCGTATCGTCTCCTCTGCTGTCGAAATGAACAGCGATATGACGAGTGGCAGGGACAACCTCGAGTTCCTGCAATGGCTCAAGCGATTTTGGGAGGCCAACTATGCTGGTGGAGAATACGATGCTGTGGGACGACGCAAGGGTGTGGCAGCAGATCCACCAGCCACGCTTGCACCCGCGAGGACTGGTGGATCGGGCGGGCTCGCGGCATCTCACGCTCCGGCACGGGCGGGCGGCCGCACACCCGTCAGCGGCCACAGGTCCGGTACACCGAGCGATGCGGCCGTTGCTGCTCTCAACACACAAGTCCGGGAACTTACGCAACATCTCGAGGGATTAGAGAAGGAGCGTGATTTCTACTTTGAGAAGGTGTGTATCCCGGATTTGCACTTGACATTTTCGTGTCCTGATGTAGTCATTTGAACAGCTCCGCGAAATCGAGATCCTTGTACAACAAAAGATGGAGGCTGACGAGGCTGCTGGCATACCCGAGGACCCAACGTCGCGTGAGATTCAAAAGATCTTGTACAGTACCGAGGTAGGCTCCCCCGTGCTGCGATCGTTGTGATCGCTCGTACTCTATTCGTCTGGAAGCTCCAGAGACTGACTCGACTCACGCAGGACGGATTCGAGGTTCCGGATCAGGAAGCAGTTCCTGAAGAAGAGGAAACGTTCTAGTCCCAGGCCTAACACTGCGTTCGAGGCAAGTTCTCGCCCTTCTCCAAACATCGATATTTCTCACCGTTCCCAAGTATTCCGTTTCGAGTAACTACGACGTACCTGCTCACATTGTTCTTGCCTACACATTGCATTCATGGTCGACAATTCTTTCCGATTATCCAGGAAGAGCACGAGCTCTTCAATGAGATTTCATGCTGCGGGTGGAATGCCACCTGCAGGATGTGTTTACTATATCGCCGGATGAAGGTCTAGATCAAGCAGCCTGTTTATCTGATTACGAGATCGTTGGTGGTAGTAGCCGGATCGGCACATGACGCACTCCCATCCTGAGTTGAACGTTTCCACAGTTGCAGCTACAATATCATGTCTTTGGTCTGCCGAACGGCTGTGTCTGGCAATTGACTTTAGCAACTCATTGCGATAACAATCCTGATGGCTGATGTACAGCTTTCAGGACAGCTTCACATCTTGACTCTCTCCTCCACCTTCCCAGATGAAGACGAATGTCTATGCACTGAAAACGCAGCGTCTTATTCTCTTCTTTTGTCTCATTGGTGCCGTTCATGCGGCCGACTTCGATACATGCCTCGCGGAAATCAAACGCGGGGATTGGGGCCTTACGGGAGGCACAGACAACGCTGGGAACCCTATAGCCAATATCTCGGAGGCCAAGTCTATCACCTACGAGCTGTGCGCGGTTGCATGTGGAGCAGGCCCGGAACCGTTCCAGTGGAACACCTTCTCGCAACAATTCAGCGCATGGCTCCTGCCCTATCTGGCTCTCGTGGCCCAGCTGCCTTCGGGGCCACGGACAACTTTGACAACGTCATGAGTGTTGTGCTATCGGTCGGATCACCAACCTTGGCCGCATATTCTCTTGCGTTGACTGTACTCAATGGACACTGGATAGCCCGGCGCTTTTCGTCTGTGGAGAAGTATCCGAATGCCAAGCAGGCGGTGCAGGTGCTGAGTCGCCTACAACAGTCCCCGTTACTTGTGACCGAGGATTATGGACTGCTCGCGTCGCTCGTGATTCTGCCACAGAACGACCGGTGGTGGGCCGAGCTTGTTGAATTGCTGGAGTACACTCATACGTGGAGCATCTCGTCTGTGGCCTCTATCATCTGGGTTTCCATCGCATATGTCTTTACGGTGATCGACTCGTTCACGGGTGAGCACGCCCAGCTGGTTTGCAGCGATCGATTTCTGACCCCCCACTTAGGCACGATTGTGTCCTCGACTCTCAATGCTAACGGACAAGGCGTCGGATCTGCGTATTTATGGCTCCTGCCAGTTGTGATAGGTGGCCTTTCGCTGCTTTGTCGGCTCTTCTCGGAGACTGAATCCTCCTTGCACAGGCTGGCTCCAGCTAGGCCCAAAATGCAATTCTGTTCGTCTCAGAGGCGCTGTGAATCGAGCTAATGCTGAGGCATATCTTGCCTCTGATCAAGGACGAGCCGTTCTGGCTGAGGACATCACTCCTGATCGCGCACTTTCTCTGGCACCGCGAATGGGCTCTGTTCGACGAGACGAGGTACCGTCATTTCTCCACTTTGTGAGACAACCGATGTCTGAGCAGCGTGCAGATGTGTAGCCCGCCTATCATGAACTACTCTCGTTGGTTAGCTTGGACACACTCGGTCGAAACGGTGTACGCCATCTTCGAGACAGCGACGGCCCGCAGCGCTCTGCATCAGTCGGTCGACCCTAATGTGCCGTGGACTAAGAATGCAGAGAGAGGAACTTCCGCCACAATCTCTCCAGTCAATCGAGAGGGGACGCTGCAACAGGTCACAGACTATGCTGTGCCGCTGCCCACCAGCGCCAGGAGCCATTGGGCACCTGGCGTCTTTTCTCGCTTCTTCGTTGCATCTCTGATGGCTCTCGGTCTGACCTGGAGTACGACTGGTGCTGCTGTGATTGTTGTTTGGTTCACCCCAACGCGAGGTCTGGGATGTCGATCGGGCGCCTATCTTCTGTACGGCGCGTTCTCCACGCTGATCTGGATTCTGCTCGTTCTTTCCAGCTTTCTGGCGCATTATTCGGCCCAAAGACCCAGCCGCTTTGACGACGGCGGCTTCCCCATCTACTCACGAGCGTCCCGGATTGCTGCCACACTTTCCATCGTGCTTCGCCGAGTCGGCAAAGTACTTGCCGCCTGCAATGCGATATGGATCGTTGTGGCCTGCATCTTCCAATTTAGTTCGTTCTTCGACCGGTGTTACTGCAACAGCAGCGTGCTTCATTTTGGATACAAGAGGGCATACGATGTGATCGACTTGGTCGCGTCGGACATCTCGACCATGAAAGTGGCTTGGGCGGGTGGTGTTGCCATGGCTCTGTCAGTGCACCACATATCCTATTATTGACCAATGCTAACTATCCGACGCAGAGGGTTTTCTTTCTTATTCATCTTGTTTGTCAATATTTATATTAATCCTCCCCTGGCTGCGACGTAGGTGTTATTAACTATTATTCATGTACATTACTGTATATACTACGCTCGAATAGCCCTGAGTCGCGTCTTGAGATCTCTCGTCTGTTGACTGCCTCGTCCTTTTGATTTCCCAAAGACAACGACGGTGCCCCGGGATCCGGCTCGGCCGGTCCTGCCAGCCCGATGCAGAAAGTCGATCATGTTTCTCGGACTTTCGACGATGAAGACATGCTCGATAAGAGGCGAAAAATCAAGGCCGCGGGAGAGCAACGATGTCGTTATCATCACATGTGGCACGTTCATCGGGTCGTTGAGAACCGGAGTCACCTTGGCAATCGCTTTCGTCTCGAGTTCGGTCTCATCAGCTGGAACGGCCCGTTTCTGGGCTTCAGGCTTCAAGAATCCCAAGAGGTGCTTGTTACTGCCCCGCGATCGGTTTTCGCTAGAGCTAGACAGAGTGATCGTCTTGATACCCTTTTCTTCGAGGAAAGTCCCCAGCGCCTCGACCTTGGTGTTTCGGTTACAGAACACGAGCACTTTGCTCATGTCGCCAGTGCTACCAGGTGCAGGCCCCCGCCCCTGGCCCGCATCATCGGCCCATACTTGCCGAAGGCGTCGCTCAATGTCAGATAGTTTGTTTCCTCCCGTCCAAGGAACATGCTCAATCTGGAGCGATTTCGGAAGCATGTGGAGATTTGGAGAGATCAGTCTTTGCATGCGGGGATGATATGTGCTGAGATACGTCGAGAGCCCAGCAGGAATCGTGGCCGAGGTGAGAAGGAAGTTGAACGGGTAATTCAACGGATTCGCTGCTGGAGACTTGGCTTTTGTCGCAAGGGCTTTGCTGGCGTGAGGGACCGCCTTGGACGTTGCGAGCAAGTCGATGGGAAGTGGCGTAAAGGCAACTTCTTGACCGCGAGCCTTGGAGATCTCAGCCAGCAACATCCGGGTCGTTTCCTGAAAGTCGGAGTCTAGAGATATTCAGCACAGAATAGGCGATCCATAATAACGCAGCAAACCAAATAGCACATCCGCCTCGTCAACGACAACCCACTCGATTTGGGAGAGGTCGAGTTCTGGGCGAGACTTCCACTGTCCAAAGCCAGGTACGTTATCCCTGCCGCGGCGAAGCCTAGGACCTCTTTCGCCAGGCTTTGTGTCCGATTCCGAAGCGCCGCCCCCCAGTTGTACCTCACGGTCCCATCCTCGACCGAATACCATCTCCATGATTTTCATGGGAGTTCCGACCAAGACATCTGCAGGCGCAGATTTAGACAATTCTTTTTTGAGCACTGAGAATTGAGAGTCGGCCTGCGCCGAGGCAGCGAGAAGCTCGGCTTTCATCCGGCTAGCGCTGTTCGTCTTGGCAATACTCGCTCCATCGATGTTCGCCCGGGAAACGCATTTCACTCGGAGTTTGATATCGTGAACAAGTGACTTGGCGGCGCTGCTGAGCTGGCGAGCGAGTTCGTGCGTCGGCGCTAAAACAAGCGCTCGAGGACCCGACGGGACTGTCTTCAGGCTGGACATGCGGGCGCTATATACAGGCTCACTAAGCTTGAGAGACTGCAGCAGGGGAAGAAGATAGGCAAAGGTTTTGCCAGACCCTGTTTCAGAGGCAAGGAGATATTCCGAGTATTCGTGAGCCGTGCTATCTGTCGCCGGCACCAGAGAGTCAGACGACTCCAAGGGTGGCGTCCAGGGTTGGAGTACCCATTTCAAGCTGAGGGCCTGGATCGGAGTTGGGGGTAGATTACCACCGCCAAGGACATCATTCAGACATTGATGCAGACCAGGGAGCAAAGGTGGCGAAGTAAAGCGTCTGGGAACGTCATGCTTCTCCGACATGGCGTCGCTATACGACTTCGAACCCGTTTTGGAGTCCGCTTTGACAATGATGGGAACGCCGGCATGCGAGAGATATTCAGGAGGATTGTAGAAAGCTGGGGGTTCGTCCGGTTCACGCCTGGAAGTCGTGCGACGAGGATGCGACGGTCTAGGCGCAGCAGCATCGGACGGGATGATCATGGGTGCGTTTCGATTCTTCAATGTCGGGATTGGGTCACGGTGAAGGTCTTCATCCCATTCCTCGTCGGAACGCTGTCTGAACGGCGGCGAAGACCAGCGTTGTCGGCTGCTCTCCCCACCATACGTGCGCGAATAGCTCCCGCGTCCAGGCGCATGAGAGCTACCCATTTCATTATCCCACTTTCCCTGTCTGCTCTGATCGCGTCCAGTCCATGGGCGAGGATATTGTCGTATGGGTGACCGTGCGTCGTACTCCAGTTGTTGTCCTTGGCTTTGGAATGAATCCGGCCTTGAATCTCGTGTAGATGCCGGACGTTGAGGCCGTCTTTGAGCTACAGAGTCGCCGTTTCAATATAGGCAAACTTAATAGACATGTCAAACACCTGTTGAGCCTGTGTCTCGTCGTACCAGATTCACGGCCGACGAGTGGAATAGCGCATTTCGAACGCGGATAGGACACTTGCACTCGTGAAGATGGAGAAGCATGCAGTCGAACTGCAAGCTACGTATGTGCTTTGATAGAGCCCTAGAGGACGTCCTTTACAGTGAAGAACGGCCTGGAGAAAAGTTTGTCGCAGTCTCGTGACATGCGCGTCAATTCGCGTCGCGTGACATTGTAATGTGCGTGACTGTCACCCTACGCGCGGCCTTTCGAGGTTCGAGATCTCACTCGTTCGTTCTTTCAAATGGCAAGCTGATCCAGTTTCATTATGCTGTCCATCTATAAAGATCTGCATCGAATAGGATATTGATCCCCTCGCCGATGCTGGTCCGCCTCGTCATGCTATCGAGTCTGATGAAGAGGAAGACGAATACAACCCTTTGCAACACACGAAGTCGCATCCCAGGAAGATCGAAATCCAGATACTCGGTGTCTCTGAGAGGCTTTCCGATGGGCTCGTTATCGCACAGGGAACTCTGGCGAAGTATTGGGCCCGCGCAGCGGATCTCCGGGAACAAGTTGGAGCAGTCATGGTGAACGGGATTCAAGTCAAGCTTCATGTTCTGATATCAATGTATATCTAACGCTCATCAAGGTTGGTCTCCTCTTTCGGCCAAGCTGGACGCGGACCACTGTCCTGGTCTCGGAGGTCACGACTCAACTGCCCATATGGGCGATGAATCAGTATGCTGCCTCCATACTGGACCAACTACAACCCCGAAAATTGGCCTTGCTGGATATTTATGTTGAACCTATGTATGTATCGCAGAAGCGTCTCGCGTATCCCGATGCAAATTTGCGCTACCTCTGCACGGAAACTGCTGCTGAATGGATGGTGAGTCTTCCGTACCTAGTTCACGAGCTTCGTCCGACTTTGGCCCACCCAGATTTCTGCAGCTGATTTGTTCTCGCCCCCAAACCTTGTCCAGTCAACTTCGGCCTCCTTTGTCGCGCAACAAGCCCAGCGAGGGTTGTCTGCGACCCTTTTGCTAGTCCCAGCTCCACATGTCCAGTTGGCCCCTCCTCGCGATCTAATCGAGAGCCATTTCTCGCATTGGGATGAAGATGGAGACCCATGGAACCCTATTCTTGTGTCCAGAGCTCATGAATTACTCTTCCGCTCGTTGGACGTGGACTGCCAACCATGGAATGCGCCGGGAGCCGTAAAGCCCAGTGCGAAACGAAGACGCCCTACTGACTCCGAATCTGGCATGTATATCTGAATTGTGACGTTTCAAATAAATAACATCACACTGAATACTTGGGCCGAACGATCGCCTCTAGCTCTTTGATGATAAGTGCAGAATCTCTGTCCAGATCAACGCGCCACGTGCTGACGGCAATTCGTGTCGCAGGCCGATTCTCCCATTGTGTTCCCGTTACATAGATCGTGCCGGCTGAGTTCAACCGCTGAACTAGATGTGAGTTCAGGTCAGATGCCCGCGCACGGAACAAGACGATAATATATATGTTTGCGGCCGACGTGTGGCGGGGCAACAGCTCGTAGTCGCTCGATTGCGAAATGTATTCCGCTACTTTTCGTGCAAGCGAGATTTGGCGCTCCAGCAGGTCACGATACCAGTCTCGGCCGTAGGCCACGAGTGTAGCGTACACTGGCAGCGCGCGCAATCGTCGGCTGTTCTCGATGCCGAGGTTGTGAGCGGAGGGTACAGCCTCCGAGAGATCGGGTGGTAGGGCAGATCCGTTCTGGAACACCTGTTTCTGAATTCCGAGATGACGGGTGAAAAAGAAGCCGCAGTCGTATGGGACATTGAGCAGTTTGTGAGCATCTCCTGTGATCGAGTCCGCGAGATCAAGCGCAGCCACTCCAGCCATGATAGAGGCATACTGCGGCTTGGATAGAAGCCGAGCTTGTAAACCGAAGGCTAGAGGCAGTAAGCAGACGCAACATTATCGTATAGCACAAACCAGCATCAACATGAACCCAAGCCCCGTATTCATCTGCCAGAGCACGGATTTTTTCCATATCATCTCTTGTCGTCGCAAAAGCTCCGGCGTTAACCTCTCCTGCACTGACAGATATGATGCTCGCGATTCCCCGTTTGGATAGATGCTGCTCCAAGGCATTCAGGTCAAGCCGCCAAGGCTCTGCCTCACTCAGCGGTAACAACATGACATTGTCAGTGCCCAGGCCGATGATGGATGCCGCCTTAGCCAATGAAGAATGCGGCATTGAGGAAAGCACTTGGATTCGCTGGATCCCCGCGCGCAAGCAAGCTGGGATCAGGCCCTGTCGGGCAATACTGGCTTGAGTTGCCGATGCTGAGAATCGCATCCCAGAGATCTGGACAGAATATTCGCGTCCGAGAGCGAGACCAAGGGTATTGGATGCCGTGGCACCGGACGTGAAAGTCCGTCCGGTAAAGATACTTGCATCGATATCAAGCAATTGCTGCAACATTCTATGGGACTGTGGGAACTAGACTCATCATCGACCTAGAGGTGAAAAGCACCTCAAAGCAGCATCTTCTACATTCCCAGCGATGCTTTCTGTCGGCGCGAAAGTTTGCACATTCTGATCGAACGCGCTTACAAGCCAGTCGGCGTACAAAGCTGCGTCTGTCGTTCCGCCAGTGACAAACCCATAGTAATTGGGATTCACGCTTTCCCTATTCAATGCAGGCGCAATATCTTCGAGCAGGTGCTTCCTAATGAGATCTAAGCCCAAGCCCTGACTAGGGAGTGAGGATGGGAGGGATCGTTCCGCGCGGAGGATGGCCTCAGCAGAAGGTAGAGGGGAGATAGATCCGACATCGAGATCAACAGAGGCAGCAAAATCAGCAAGCATATTGAGACTCATCGTTATCGGATAAGCCGAACAGTTCAACTGAGGTTGAAGTTGAGGCCTGAGGGTTGCAAGTAGGCAGTCGAGCTTGAAGCGAGATACCGGCGACCGCATCATGGAAGCCGCTGTCAAAATCACGCGTCAGTGGCTTGCCACGTCGTGATCCACAGCTCACTCTCAGACTCCAAATTTCTCTCCCTTCCTTCCGCCACGATGAGCGGCTGTATGTTCTCTGTTCTCTCAGTCCACACTCTACTTACAACGCTCGGTTTCAGTTCGGTTCCTCAACCTCGTCCGGCCTTTCCTCCCGATTTTGCCTGAAGTTGCCTCTCCAGACCGCAAGGTACGTCAGTTTCTATCCACTATTTGCCGACCTGACACGCTCTTGAAGGTCCCGTTCAACCAAAAAATCCTATGGACGGCTGTGACGCTTCTTATCTTCTTGGTTTGCTCGCAAGTGCCGTTGTACGGTATCATGTCGTCTGACTCCTCCGACCCGTTGTACTGGATGCGTGTCATCCTGGCCTCCAACCGTGGAACGCTCATGGAGCTGGGGATCACACCTATCATCACTTCGGGAATGATTATGCAGCTCCTGGCTGGTGCCAACTTGATTGACGTCGACTTTGGGCTCAAGGAGGACCGGGCTTTGTTCAGCGGGGCACAGAAGCGTGAGTCGTGTTCCTACACTGGTATCTACTGCTATCGAGACTGGGGAGCGGTGCCGGTCTCAGAGTGTTCTGCACTCGTGTCGTGTCGGAATGCAGGCTTTGACAGCTGACACGTATTCGCAGTTTTCGCTCTCATCATCTCTCTCGGTCAAGGAACCGTCCACGTCCTCACTGGTCTCTACGGACAGCCCAGCGAGCTCGGCGCTGGTGTCTGCTTGCTCCTGATCATTCAGCTCGTCTCCGCCGCGATGATCGTCATTCTACTCGATGAGCTACTCCAGAAAGGCTACGGTCTGGGATCCGGTATCTCCCTCTTCATTGCCACCAACATCTGTGAATCGATCGTCTGGAAGGCGTTCTCGCCTACCACCGTCAACACCGGACGTGGTCCCGAGTTCGAGGGCGCCATCGTTGCCCTCTTCCACTTGCTATTCACATGGAACGACAAAGGTCGTGCGCTGCGTGAGGCTTTCTGGCGAGACCGACTCCCCAACGTCATGAACCTCGTTGCGACCGCTGTGATCTTCGCCATTGTCATCTATCTCCAAGGCTTCCGTATCGAAATCCCGGTCAAAAGCAACCGCTTCCGTGGTCAGCGTGGCTCTTACCCCGTGAAGCTGTTCTACACTTCCAACATGCCCATCATGTTGGAGTCGGCTCTCACTTCCAACGTCTTTATCCTCTCCCAGATGCTTGCATCCCGCTACCCGAGCAATCTCTTGGTCCGTCTTCTCGGTGTGTGGGAGGTGCGTGATGAATTCGGTGACTATTTTCGCATGTTAACTGTCACTCTAGCCCATGCAAGATTCTGCTCAGCTCGTTGCCACTTCTGGTATCGCGTACTATATGTCCCCTCCGCACACCATGAAGGAGGCTATCGTTGACCCGATCCATACTGTGATCTACATCGCCTTCATGCTCTCTGCCTGTGCTTTGTTCTCGAAGACCTGGATTGAGGTTTCGGGTTCTGGCCCTCGCGATGTAGCCAAGCAGCTCAAGGACCAGCAGATGGTATGTCTATCACTTTTTGCGGGCATATTACACTGTGTATAACTCAACTGTAGGTTATGGCCGGACACCGGGAGGGTTCCATGTACAAGGAGCTCAAGCGCGTGATTCCAACTGCGGCTGCTTTGGGAGGAGCGATCCTCGGTTTGCTCTCTGTCGCTGCGGATTTGATGGGTGCGATTGGTAGCGGGACTGGTATCCTCATGGCTGTCACCACCATCTACAGCTGTGAGGTTCTTTGATCTCCGCCCTGTTTGGCTCTGATCCGTTTCCAGATTGGGAGATCGGCATGCGTGAATCTGGTGGCCCTGAGATGGCTGCACTGGGTGATTTGCTCTAAATGCCTACCGCTGCAGGATGAACATGCCGACTGAGGACTGGATGGGCGGCAAAAAAGCTGGGTGTAGCCAGCTGCATTGCATTCGTATCGATAACATAAGTACAGTACAAGTATTAAGCATAGCTGGGTCTCTCGTTTCCACATGTCGAAGCTGTGTTGAAAACTTGACTGTAAACAAGCGTGCGTGCCTGAGGCTCAGCCGGCCCGCAATGCTATCAATACTTGGCCTCGAACATCTGCATCGATGCTAACCACTTGCCAATGCTTGCAACGTATAAACGGGCTGTCGCCGCCGCTTCGGCTCTCGTCAGTTTCCCCCCCTCACGATGTCGTCTAGCACGGTCAGACCGACGGACCTTGCCTCTATAAAGAATGCTCCTCTACTGGGACTGGCGGAGGGGATTGGCTCGTTCTCCAACCTCCATCTGGCGGGGCTCGTGCTAGTTGTCCCGTATGTCGCGAAAAGCTTGTTACCTCTGGTCAACCGTGGGGGCCTCAAGACGTACCTTTTCCTTCTGCTGCTGACGGGTGTGCCTACCACTGTTGGGTACTGGATGATTATGTCCAACTACGGCATGAGAAAGAACGAGAAGGTCCTTTTTCCCGGCAAGGACATTGAGGACTATATCACCCTCAAGGATCCCAAGCTCAAGGCACTGTATAGCGGCAAGGCCAAGATATCAATACAAGTGTTCCATGACGCTTATTTCGACGGCAAAATCGATGTTAAAGGTGTGTGTCGTTACCGAGTTATGTGTCTCGAAAGCGCAACCATTAGGAGACTGACGTTTCCATTGCAAGGCGATATCCTTGATATCCTGGAGCAGCGTCATGACTGGGCCAAGTTCAATTTTACTCTCGAACTATTCAAATATGTGTTCATGAACCTGCTGCCTGAGGTTATCATCCACTCTCAGAGTCAGGACGAAGAGCAGGTGCGAGACCATTATGACAGGGGCGATGATTTCTACGAATGGTGTGTGCTTGACACCGACCTGTTTCCTTCGTCCTTTGAACCCTGACACAGGTTCCTCGGCCCGCGTATGATCTACACGTCGGGCGTGATTCTTTCTCCTGAGACGTTCGAGTCCCTGGAAACTTTGCAGGATAACAAGCTCGCCATTGTGTGCAACAAGCTCGACCTTCAGGCCACTGACCGCTTGCTGGATGTGGGCTGCGGCTGGGGAACGCTTGTTGCATATGCAGCCAAGAACTTCGGTTGTGATGTCACCGGTGTTACGCTTGGGAAAAACCAGACCAAGTTTGGAACGCAGCGCATCGCGGATAATGGTATCGCGGCTGACAAGGCTCGCATTCTCTGCTGCGACTATCGCGATATCCCGCGAGGCAAGGGCGTGTATGATAAGATAGTCAGTCTGGAAATGGCCGAGGTCTGTCTTTTTACTGTTCTGTTTTGTATGCATGGTGTGAAGTCCTCTGCCAGCACGTCGGAATCCGTCGTTACTCTGCTTTCTTGGAGCAAATGTACGAGTTGCTCAGCGATGACGGCATCTTCGTGTTTCAAGTGGCCGGGTTTCGGCCGGGATGGCAGTTCGAGGACTTGATCTGGGGACTTTTCATGAACAAATACGTCTTTCCTGGAGCTGATGCATCTGCCTCGCTCGGCTGGGTCGCCACCAAGGTATGTAATGTAGCAAGGCACTGGCACGTGCTACATAGCAATTTGCAGCTAACGTACTACAGCTCGAGCAGGCCAACTTTGAAATAAAATCTATCGACGTCCTCGGTGTCCACTATTCTGCGACAATCTGGCGATGGTACCTCAATTGGTTGTCCAACAAAGATAAGGTAGTCGCGAAGTACGGCGACCGCTGGTTCCGCATTTGGGCGTACTTCCTGGCCTCTGCGACGATCTCCAGCCGGTGCGTACATGTCCTCTGCTTTTTTTTCATCTATACCAACCACTACAACAGACAAGGGACTGCTTCCGTCTTCCAGTTCGTCCTGCACAAGAACTTGAATGCCTACCATCGCGTTCTCGGGGTCGCCAATCATGGAGGCATCCAGGTCAAGCTCGGCCAGGAACCCCAGTAGGCATATCGCTCCTGATGCTCCCCATTTGATGCTCACGCCACCCTAGACTGATTCTGTGAAACCTGGGAAGATTTACAACAACCTACTTACTACTGGTGATATCTACTATAAGATGTGTACTGTATAGAGGGTATCTCAGCGTGGAAACGCGCCAGGGATAACTTGTCTTCTCCGCTCTGGATGATGGAAGTATGTACCGTACCGTGACAGTCTGGACGGCGAGGTGTTTGGACTGGAACTCACACCGGCTCCAAGCACTGAATCGTTGGCGTTGGTTTCGGCCAATGATGGGACTGAGTTCTCCAGCCCCCCTTGTTGAGTCCCATAGTCATCTTCATCGCTGTCCTCTTCGTCTTCCAGCAGCCAATCCTCATCGTCCGGGAGATTGATCACACCCGAGGCAGGATCGAAACTGAGACGATGACTGAGCGGAGCAGATGTCCGTCGCGGCTCGGCCTGCCATGGGTTGCTGCTGCTCGGCCCAGATGTTTCACTAGGCGCAGTAACAGACTCGACCCCATCCTCGATGACCTCGCTCTGCGTCCGTCGGCGAGCACTGGCCCGCTTGCGGAGAGTGAGTACAACGGCCTGTCCGTTGTTCTCTTTCGGTTGACGACCTGCCATGCTGCGTGGGTCGTTGCTCGTGGAAAGGATCTGGCCCTTCTTCAGTGGCAGCCATGGCTGGGGCAGCACCCCATTCAATGCTGGATGGGCATATCGTCTCTTGCCGGTGCTGTAGAGAAACAATGAGGACTGGCTGAGAAAAATATTCACCAGACGCACTTCAGCACTCCCTGGTACCAGTTCGTCATGGGTGGTTGCGACTGAGGCCGTTAATACGTTTCGGAAGCAGCCTTGGGGGAGAGACATACATAATCGGTGCGTTCATCCTCGGGTGCGACGTAAAGAGTGTCATCATTCTGAGCATATCTTCTCTTATTAAGATTGCTAGAGCAGAATAATCAGCGTCTGAGCGGTGACCAACGACAGTCCCAGACCTTTGGGACCACGTGACTGGATGTCCCTCATGCAAGCGAGCCACATCAGCTGACTCTTGGCCGCGCTCGACTTCGTGCACAGAGCTCAGACCCACAAAGTCGCTCAGGGGCTTGAACTCTTTCTCGATGTACCACGACCAGAGGACTGTGCCGGCGAGGAGCGGGATCAGTAGGATTGTGATGATGTACGACAGCTTCGAGCTTGCGTAAGTGTTTTGGAGCAAGAAGAAACCAGTCATAAACGTCAGGAAGATCATGACACCCCAGATCAAGCGCACAAAGGTCAGCGGCCACGCTTGACCTTGTGATTCGTATGGCTTGTAGAAGACTAGTGGAATGGATCAGCACCCTTGATGCACAAAAACCAAACTAAGCGACCGACCAAACAGAAGTTTGTATTTGTAGACCACATATGCCACGCCAAAGTAGATGGCTCCGAAAATCAGAATCAAGGGCTGTGTCACGCTGTAGAGCATGGTGATGACAAACATGAGGATCGATTGAGGATATACGATCCCATAGTTGATCATTGGCGGTGCGTTCAGCTCGGCGAAATCTACGTTGCTGTTGAAGCTGTGCTGAATGGAAGCCAGATAACATACCCCGTGGCGTGCGTGTCACAAACAGACGGAAGAATCGGGGAATCGTCACACCCAGATTCAACAGTTGAAGCGGCATGATACCAAGCCCTTGCAGAATGACATATGAAAGGAAGAAGTTACGAGCTTTCCCGGCCTGGAGCGCCTTGGCCAGCTTTTCTGGGATTTTGGCAGGGAAATTCGCCAGCTCATAAACCAATTGGAGGTAAGTAGACGCCAATAGGAAGATGAACACGACATTGATGAGGAGGAATAGAAAATACCTGAAGCAATAGGTTAGCGCATGAGGAACAGGACTGACAAAGGAGCACTTTTTCAACAATGAATATTCGATCCAACTACGTGCTCGATAGCCTTGCTGATAAGTCAAGGCTGAAGTTTCATGAGGACACACGCAAACAAACACAAAGGATCACCAACCTTCGAGAAGGAAAGGAAGAAACGCATTGAGGGAGATCACACCAACTGATGGCAGCGAGTTCTGCACGATGGCCCGTACTTTGTCATTGCTGTCAATCAGCCTCCCGAGCCAGGGCATCGTCTTCTTGATCTCAGTGTAACTGAGCAGACTGGCAAGCGCCGTGATTGGGAAGATCCACGAGAAGAAGAGGAGCACGATCATGCCCAGAACGAATACGTCGCGAGTCTGAATGTTCAGCTGTGATGGCGTCATGTTAGACCATACGATATCACGGGGCTCGGGTGCTGGATACGTCTTGCACCGCAACGGTGCTGAGGCGTGAACGACTTGAAGCGCGACTTGTGCAGACGACATCTTCTCAAAAGTCACGAAAGCAACAGGCGTAGCTTTGAATTTTGCCAGACGTCGTTTTCGGACCTTCTCGTCGATGTCTTTGAACTCCGTCTCAAGATACTCCAATGCATCCACTTTCGGTCCAAACCATCGTGGCCTTATCGTCGGTCTCGGTCGATGAGGCACCACCAGTCGTTGCTGCGGACCAGACTCGACATCCACCAGAGGACCTCCACTCGCTTCCGGGTCGTATTCCTCCACTGCACTCGGATTGCCAACGTAACTCGTCCAGGCGCTTTCGAGCGCCAAGAGAGCTTCCGTCCGTTTGTCGATAAGTCTCTTGAGAGAGCTAACCTCGCGGCACAGGGTAACGCTTTCAACGCTGAGATCCATGTTTTCGAAGTATTCGGCAAGAGCCCTTTCTCCAAGGAGATGCCGGGGAAGGTTTGAGACCATGACCGTTCTGGCAGGAATGGAGTGCACCAGCTCCAGAGAGTAAAGCTGGCGAGAACGAATGAATCGGCGATAATTTTTATAGATGAAGAAGAGCGCGAGGAGAGTGAAAAGATACGTGAATATGAGATAGAGGGACAGGTATGAGTTGGCTTCGCTGATCAAGTCGAGCCAATTCGATCCATCTGGATTGGGAACAGTTCCATTCGTGCTTCCATTCGGCGCGAAGGAGGCGATGCGGAACAATGGCCTATTGCTAAGTGTGCTGCCGAAAAGACTAGGCCAGTCGTCTGTGTCGTCGCCCCAGTCTTCGTCGTCACCTAGTTCCTTATTATGCTGGGGCAAAATACATCGTTATTACGATGTGCGCAGAGAATTGGAATCCTTACCATCCAGTTGATGGGCATCAAGATAGTCAAAGCAAAAAATGAGCAGACAGAGAAGAGTTTGAAGGCCATCTTGTAAAAGCTGAGCAGCACGGCGGCGTCGAGTCCAACGATCTGAAGGACGGTGAATTCCGAGGTGCGAATGGTGGGCAGAATCCATCCAAAGAAAGCTTGGTGAGCGTGCGCTTCATGAGGCGAGAAGCCTATTCGCGATAATTCAGGAAATGAGGCACAACAGTGGTGTGAGCACCAACCCTTGAGCTTCGTGCGCGGAGCGAATAGGATGGGCCACCGAGTTCGGCAATAGGAGAACACAAGGAAAGAGAACAGCCCTATCGTCCCAGACATGATGATCTGTGTTGTGAACCAGGGCCCTTCGAATGTCACTAGGAGTAGCAAGAAATAACGGGTATTGTTCAGAGTCACGGAATTGAGCATGATTGATGCTACGGACTCGTTGGGGGACTGCCTGGGGGCGGTCCATTTCGATCGTCGTCATCTGGGTTGTCGAGTAGAAGCCTCAAGAAGGATGAGGACCCCCAGTCCATGATGGTAGCCGTATAAGTGCGCGCACTACGGTGTGTTTGGTGACGCTTGATGGTACAGCATGATTTCGATACTAACCGACAGCTTCTTTAGCTCAGCTCATGAAGCTGTTCTCTAAACGAGGCATTCTTACCAGAGGGCGGCGACCCTTGTATGCTGCAACTCGAGTCTTCAATGCTTCCTCCGCTACTGCATCATCTGCCATAGCTAAATGCTGGATCCATACCACCAACAAGACGAACACTTTCAAAAACGGCCTTCGTAAGGCCTACTACTCAACCGGGACCAGTGGCTCTGACCCAAACACGGGCCCTGAACTTGGATCCGCTCTTCCTCTCTATCGTACGTTGGTTATTGTGAATTTGGATGTTGGTCGTCACTAACATCACGTAGAAAAAGTGATCAATGCCTGGAACGAAACACCTGTGAAATGGTACCCCATTCCTATTGCTGTCGGAGCATTGGTTCTTGTCGCTGTTCAATATCGTCGGAAGGCCCGTAAGGAGGTTCATGTTGACGAAGACGGCCACGATATCGTGCGACTGAAGGGGCCGTGGCAGGTTCACGTTCTTGGTGCTCTCCCACTCCGAAACATGTCACGTCTCTGGGGCTACGTTAACTCTCTGGAGCTACCCGTGTGGTTCCGCCCGTACGGATTCAAACTCTACGCGGTCACGTTCGGTTGCGACTTGGACGAGATCGAGCCAGCAGACTTGAAGGCGTATGCCAGTCTTGGCGAGTTCTTCTATCGCAAACTCAAGGAAGGGTCACGGCCTGTGGAGGATGCAGTGCTCGTTAGCCCTGCCGATGGAAAGATATTGCATTTCGGGACAATCCAGGATTGGCGGATAGAACAGGTGAAGGGGATCACATACTCCCTCGATGCACTACTTGGAGTCGAAAGACCCGGTTCACCTATTGCTACGCCTGCGGATATGCCCAAGGGTCTTCCCGTCGTTGACGATCACGAGTTCGCAAATGTGAACGGAATCGAGTATAGTCTACATGGGCTTATTGGAGGATCCAGTGGAGTCAACACGCCCACAGAAGATGCATCTGTTCCGCACAAATTTGGCAAGCAAATCGATGCGTCTGTGGTGGGGAAGCCGGCTGAGACTCTCATTCACGACGTCTCTGTTGCTTCTGAGGTTGGTCTGCGCCCGACGTTGGAGCGAAAGAGCACCAGTGTTAGTAGCTTGCGACCGGGAAACACACTCTTCTTCAGCGTTATCTATCTTGCACCTGGCGACTACCACCGGTTCCACAGTCCCGCAGCATGGGTTGTCGAGAAACGTCGACATTTTGTCGGTGCGTCGTTATCCCTTCGTTATTTTGGTGTCATTGAATTGCATCTAAAGGCGAGCTGTTCTCTGTTTCGCCCTACATCGCTAAACGGCTGGAAAATTTGTTTGTGCTCAACGAGCGAGTCGCCCTGTTGGGTCGGTGGAAGCATGGCTTCTTCAGCATGGTTCCAGTGGGCGCTACCAACGTCGGCAGTATCAAGGTCAATTTCGATCAGACCTTGCGAACGAATCTTCGTGGTAAAGCACCTCCACCGGGAACGTACACGGAGGCGGTGTACTCAGCAGCTTCATCGCTCTTGAACGGCCAGCCCTTGTTACCCGCTCAAGAGATGGGCGGATTCTGTCTGGGCAGCACCATCGTTCTCGTCTTTGAGGCTCCACGGGATTTCCAGTTCGCTGTGCAGACGGGCCAGAAGGTTAAAGTGGGACAGAAGTTGGGGGACATTGTCGAGAATAAGACACAGTAGTAGATTTATTATAATGGGGAATGTCTGTTCTATTCTTGGTATGGATACGCAAGCTTGGGCTGGTCCTTGCGACGCCAGAGCTTCTTCCTATTGGAATTTAGTACAACGTTTTCATCCAGAACTGACTAGTCACTTTTTCTTAGTGGGAAGGTGTTCAGCAAAGACCTCAACACAGAATTTGGCTTTGAATTCGCGAATGAACCGTGGGTCCCTACACAAACTAGTGAGACACACGAGCTTCACCCGTAGAACGGACAGACCAAAGTTCACTGGCAATTCCTAGGTCTTTGCAGCATCGCATTAAGGCATTGCTCTTGCAGGCCTCCGTCGCAGTGGGGATACCTGAAGGATCAAAATACTCTTGTTCGCCGCGGGAGATAGCAACGAGGCTTATGCAATGTAAGCAAGGACATACGGATCCCGAACGAGGAAATGCACCGTCCATGGCACACCAGTGCATATTCACGACTGACAATCCTGGGACCAACATTCGTCTCGCTGCGGGGAGCGAGCCCCCAGGCCCCAGGCCCAAAAGCACGGTTCAGGACTCGCCGGTATTTGATTTCGGGAAGATAAAGCAGACCGTCCGGTTTGACTTCAATATCTTCAGACTGTAACGGTGCCAGCAAGACATCAGAGATTTCCTTGGAGAATGCCTGTTGGGAAAGACCAAAATAGCTTTTGGACCAGTCGGTCCCAGGGCCTTGGGGAGGACTTGGATCAGGAAGGTCACTGGGGGGCGCCTCGGTCGAGGAGGCCTCAAACATTGGCTGTGGCACAGTTGAGGATAGTCGAACGTTGGAAAAGGACAATCGAGGGGTTATGCGAGCAGAAGACGAAATAGCGCGGTGACTGTAGCACTTCGACACGAAGGCTACCCGTTGAAGGACACCAGCCATGCTCAAGTTCCAGCCCAGGGTAATTGGAGAAACCGAAATGTTCACGGATGAATAGAGACAAATTATGTGGCACTGCCTTATTCATTTGATCGACAAGTACGAATAGACACGATCACATTGGCTGCTCAGGTGCCTGCTGCCCATGGCTCTGAACAGCTCTCTGAACTAAGCGCTTGATGCCCAAATCATCAAGTCGTATATAGAGAACAGTGTGTCGATTGTGTCATACTCAAGATACACCCGATACAATACACTGCCGTTCGGACGAGTGCCGAAAGCTGGTTCATAATGCATGGATGATGCGTCGATTGCGAGTGGAAAGAGAGAAAGAAGCTACATGTGAGTATCCTACACCACCGTCCCTGCGTTCGACGCAATACGTGGCCAAAGGTCCGCCTAAGGGGAAGGTCGACACTTAGTTCGGTGAGGTAGTGATATATGACATACGCATTCTTTTGCGACCGGGCCTGTGATAGCTGAGCCCTTCATTTCACCCTTCGGGTTAACGATAACACCAGCGTTGTCCTACATCGAGAGAAGTGAATGAGAACATCAGAACAAGATAACATATAGCACTCTCACCTCGAAATAGAGAAACACGCCGTCCTTTCGACGCCATGCCTTACGCTGACGAATTACAACAGCAGGCATAGCTTGGAGCAAGATGAGAGACAAAGCAATTGTTGAGGTCTTGAAACGCACTCTTTTTCCGCAGTTCGGGCTTTCCCTTCTTCACTGAGGCGACGACCATGTCACCAACACCAGCATCCGGTAGACGATTGAGATGTGCGCCAAAACCGTATGGCTCAATGAGGAAGAGGCTCTTTGCGCCGCTGTTATCCGCGCAGTTGATGACGGCGCCGACAGGGAGACCAAGGGTCATGCGAAACTTGGTGCCAGATGCACCTCCACCTGCAGACCGTAACTTAGGTTGGCACACAGCACGTCGGGACAGACGGGGGCGTACCACGCGCTGCAGCCATTTTTGAGTCTTGATGAGTTTAGACGAAGGAGAATCGTTCAGTCATGGACTGTATAATTGCACGTGGGCATAATGAGCACGTGATCTATGATAAGATAAGGCGAGCCGACTATCGATCAGGAATCTCAAATCGGAATGGCATCGAGAAGCATGCGCAAGCAAGTTCAATGATCAAGTGCTCAAGCCTCAAATTCTCTTGCTGTCAGCTGGTCTATTTGTCATTCGGACCGCGTTTGCTCTTCCATGCATCACAGCATGCAGAAGGCGAAAACATTTGGGATCGGGACGGGGAGTGTTCAGGTGGAGAAAATGTCCCCAGTCCACATATACGATAAAAACACTCCCTACTATCGACACAGGGAAGCAACAGGATAGTGCACAGGTGAACAATATATGTGTCATTACAGTTGAGTAAGCTATGGATAAGATTACGATTAGATGGGGCACTGTCACATGACATTCGAGCCGACGTACGTCATGATTCGTTCATTTCCCTGCAACTCATCGCGATCGATCGCGCGACGCCTCAACTATGTCCTGAGTGCCATACGGTCAATTGGAATAGTCTCAGGCCGTATAATCAGTTTTCTTGCCAGTACGGTCAACTTCCAGCCCAGAGCTGGGACCGAGAATGGGCTTGTGCGGAGCAAGAACGGAAATATGGCCTAAATCGCGTCAGTTGACCTGCTCACCACGACTCAAATAACAGCCAATCGGACTTCGCGAAATTCTTCTCTGTCAGCATTGGCATCATATCTCATCCCTTTATAAAGTCGAACCACGCTCACCGCCTTTCTACATTGTACCATCATGCCCTCTCAACAAGTATTCGACTTGGGAACTGAATCTGTCCATTATACGACTTCGAACGGAGCTCCCGTCTCCGAGCCGTATGGAGCTCAAAGGGTTGGACTCCTTGGACCACTCCTTCTCCAAGGTGTGTCTTTTTTGGTCGTATCGCGTCATGTATTCAATCCCTCTCGCTCGTTTCAGACTTCCATCATATCGATCTGCTCGCTCACTTCGATCGTGAACGCATCCCGGAGCGTGTGGTTTGTAGTACCAGTGATTCAAGCAGTGTCTCTGCTCACTCTACTGTGAAAGGTGCACGCCAAGGGTGCTGGTGCTCACGGGTACTTTGAAGTCACGCACGATCTGAGTGACATCACCTCCAACCCCTTGCTTACATCCGTGGGTAAGAAGGTGAAGACGACCGTTCGCTTCTCGACGGTTGGCGGAGAATCGGGGTCAGCCGATACTGCGCGTGATCCCCGCGGATTCTCTGTCAAGTTGAGGACGGAGCAAGGCAATTGGGACTGGGTTTTCAATAACACGCCCGTGTTCTTCATTCGCGATCCTGCCAAATTCCCCCACTTCATCCACACTCAGAAGCGCGACCCTCAGACTCATCTGAAGGATGCCGACATGTTCTGGGTACGCCTTCGGTTCGGTTCGGTGAATCCTTCTTAGTGACTTCTTGATCTGTAGGACTACCTGGGCCAGAATCCTGAGTCGATTCACCAGATCATGATATTGTTCAGCGATCGCGGCACTCCTGACGGATATCATCAAATGCACGGCTACTCAGGCCACACATTCAAGTGGTTCAAGCAGGACGGTTCTTTCGTCTACACCCAGCTGCATCTTCGCGTTCGCAATGGATTCAAGACCCTGAATAATAGCCAAGCCGGAAAACTGGCAAGCGAAAACCCCGATTATGGTATTCAATCGATGTTTGAAGCCATCGAAAGCAAGAACTATCCGACTTGGGATGTTTTCGTCCAAACGATGACCCCGTCTCAAGCCGAGCAGTTCCGTTACAACGTCCTCGATCTCACCAAAGTCTGGCCGCACAAGGAATTCCCTCTCCGGCCGGTGGGCACGCTTGTCTTCGACGAGAACCCGCAAAACTATTTTGCGGAGATCGAGCAAGCGGCGTTTGCGCCGTCGCACCTTGTTCCCTACATTGAGCCCAGTGCGGATCCAGTGCTGCAGTCGCGCCTGTTCTCTTATCCCGACACTCATCGCCATCGTCTCGGCGTGAACTACCAGCAGCTCCCTGTCAATGCACCGATCGTCCCAGTGTCCAACTTCCAGAGGGATGGGGCGGCCACTTTTGTATCACAGGGTGCCCGTCCGAACTACCAGAGCTCCATTGCCCCGCTCCAGTACAAGGGTGCCCCTGGAACCCTCGAAGGCGGTGTCCGGGACCTGGGCCGCCAGGCCAAGCACGAGACGTATCTCGGTGCTGCTGTGCGTGATCTGAGCGAAGTCACCGAGCGTATGTGGTTCTTGTTCTACTTGCCGGGCGATGTGCTGACAGTGGCCAGTCGACTTCGAGCAGCCTCGTGCGCTGTGGAGCAAAGTGTGGAATGACGAGCAACGTGAGGCCTACGTGCAGAACGTCGCTGGTCACTTCGGTAATGTCAAGAGCGCTACGATTCGTGACCGTCAGCGTGAGTGTCCTGCACATGTATCCATTTTGTTTTGTAATTCGTCTCCGCAGTGTCTGTCTGGGCCGCCGTCGACCAGGGTCTCTCTGACCGTATCGCCAAAGCCATCGGCGCTTCATCTGTGAAGCCTCTCAAGGTCAAGCCCGCCAGCGAAGCGATCAAGTTCCGGGCTAACATCGGCGCCTTTGCTTGAGCAGGTAGCCACTACAAAGCCGAGATTGTAAGAAAGTCGTGTATCTGCGAAATCTGTAATCAGTATGTAAAGCAAACCACTTCCCTGTCCGAGTCACGCATGACTTCACCTATATTTGAGCGGCCCGACTTGGCCCGATGCACTACTGTTTTGATGCCAAACAACCCGCTTGTGACGAGCTTTGTCCACCATGTTGAAGACATCGAGCTCGTCGTCTGGCGCAGCCTTGAGGAGCGCTACCGGCCGCATCAGGAACTTTGCGACAGTTGCAGACCCACCAGTTCGTCGCTATGGAGGCCTCAAGGACCAAGACCGGATCTTCACCAACGCCTTCTTACGCCATGACTTTGGTCTCAAAGGCGCAAAATCTCGTGGCGACTGGCATCGCACCAAGGACATTCTCCTCAAGGGCGACTCGTGGATTATCCAGCAAATCAAGGACTCCGGCTTGCGAGGGCGAGGTGGAGCAGGTTTCCCCAGCGGTCTCAAATGGAGTTTCATGAACAAACCCAACTGGCAGGCCGACAAGCGGCAAGTCTCCCTCTTCCGTTTTTCCCGTGGCTTTCCTCACTTGCACACACATAGTCCACGGTACCTGGTTGTCAATGCCGATGAAGGTGAACCCGGAACATGCAAAGACCGAGAAATCCTCCGTGGTGACCCGCACAAGCTTGTGGAGGGTTGTCTTGTCGCAGGCCGCGCCATGAACGCCACCGCAGCTTACATCTACATCCGCGGTGAATTCGTGCAAGAAGCGGACCATCTCAGTCAGGCCATCGCCGAAGCGTACAAGGATGGATTATTAGGACCCAACGCTTGCGGGAGCGGGTACGCATTCGATGTATACGTCCACCGCGGTGCCGGAGCCTACATTTGTGGAGAAGAGACAGCTCTGATTGAAAGTATCGAGGGAAAACAAGGCAAGCCTCGTCTCAAGCCGCCTTTCCCTGCCGATGTCGGTCTCTTCGGTTGCCCTACCACCGTGGCAAACGTCGAAACTGTCTCAGTCGCCCCGACTATCTGTCGTCGTGGCGCATCGTGGTTCGCTGGATTCGGCCGTGAACGCAACCAGGGCACGAAACTATTCTGTATCAGCGGACATGTGAACAACCCCTGCGTCGTCGAGGAAGAGATGAGCATCCCTCTGCGCGAATTGGTCGAGAAACACTGTGGCGGTATCCGGGGAGGTTGGGATAATTTGTTAGGCATCATCCCTGGCGGTTGCTCCGTCCCTGTTCTGCCCATCAAGGACTGCGGAGAGGTCCTCATGGATTATGACTCGCTGAAGGATGCCGGCTCTGGTCTCGGTACTGGCGCTGTCATCGTCATGGACAAATCGACGGATATTGTAGCTGCTATCGCGCGCTTTTCTGCTGTGAGTTTGCCTGTCGTGTCTCATGGCATGCGCTTATTCCCGCCATGCAGTTCTACAAGCATGAATCATGTGGCCAGTGCACACCTTGTCGCGAAGGGACTACTTGGATGATGAACATGATGAATCGTATGGTCGAGGGCCGGGGGCACCGCCGCGAGATCGACATGCTTTTGGAGCTAACGTTAGTCCTACCTGCTCCAGTTGGCGCGGTCTTCTCATCCGTTAAACCAGCAAACAAGTCGAAGGCCGCACAATCTGTGCCCTGGGAGATGCCGCTGCCTGGCCCATCCAGGGGCTCATGCGTCACTTCCGACCAGAAGTTGAAGCCCGGATCGACGCCTTCCGCGCTAAGCACGGCAATGTTGCGTTTGGTGGCCGACTGGCTAGCGAAGTGGATGACTCTCTGGCAGTCCCGGATAACTTGGGCGTCCGTTTACCTGTTGCTCCGCCGGCAGCATAGAAGCACCACTAGTACACATGAAATCCATCCTTTTTTCGACATTGCGACATTGGCTGGATTGTTTCTTTTCCAATTCCTGCCTCGCTCTGAGAGATGTAAATCTACTTGAATACAAAGATACATATGCGGTGCCATCTGGTATTAGGTGTGCGTTCAGCCCCATGCCGCTGTGGTGCTGGCAACTCTTGAGGTGATCGTCTTATGTCGGTGCCCAAAGTCTCACCTGTAATTCACTATCAAGTGTCCGTCTGTCGAAAAAGACTGTAAATGATCAGCACGGCGTTTAAGCGATGGTGTGGATTTCAACTTGCTTTGAATAAATTTGAGACAGTGTCATCAGGAGCGGGCGAGAAGGCCAGATTTATATACGTGAACTGGATTCTGCCTCAAGGGGATTGGCATACTGGAGATTCGGGGTCGTACCAAAGGATCGCCAGCTTTCCATCCCAGTTCTTTTCGCAAGAACTGGATGACAGCTTGGAATCTATTGGACGCGGTTATCTTGTAGAAGTTCTGTTTCATTATTGGCGCGTTGCCGACAGCTTTGAAGCGCACGACCACTGCGGCCACAACGTGTCAAGTGAGAGCGTGAACCAGGTGGCGGATATCCAACCTTTCGAAGGATCTCTCTTCTTGTAGTTCTCCAATGCCGTCAATGCCTCCTCGTTAATCACAGCAGCCGTCGGGGCTGTCCATGGAACAGGTTGTCGCGCAGTAGCATCCGATGGTGTGGTATCTGCTTCAGACATGCCAGAGCCTGTGCCAACAGGTGCAAATACTATTACGGTGCGTGACATTCACTCATACTTGACTATGACTAACCTAGTTCTGGTGCTCTAGATCTCTGACCCTAAGCCGTATCACAGCGGACTACGAAGTTTTGTCTCACTCGAACACCCTCTGGTTTGGGCTCCGGAGACTACATGGCTTTATCCGATTACAATGCGAACGCTGCGGGCGCACAGCAAGCTGTTCCCCATGAATCTGATCTCCTCCATGCTCAGAACTCGTTGATCGTTTCACTCCCAGACGAAGGACTGGGGTTTGATGCGACTCTTGAACATCTAACGACGGACATTGCTCCAGGGTTCCACGGATCTAATCGCTGCCCCACGTACTACGCGTATACCACGGGGGCGGTGACCGACGCGGCATTGTTCGCCGACTGGTTAGTCAGCCAGTACGACCAAAATGTCTCCGTTCATCTGCCCTCTGAGACCGTGGCCACAACCTTGGAGGCAATCACTCTGAAGTAGGGTGTCCATATGTTTGGGTGCTGGCTGTGTGGGTTGATGGTGTTCTAGATTATTACAGCAACTTTTTTCTATCGACGAACTCGAGTTCACTGGCAGAGTCTTCACCACGGGGGCCACAGCTTCCAACCTTATTGGACTGGCTCTCGGCCGAGAATATGTCATTCGTGAGGCTGGCCGGCGCAAACGTGTCCCGTCTGCAGTCAGTGTTACAAAGTCCGGCTTTCTGGAAGCCTGCGTCAAAGTGGGAGCGCCAGGGATCCAGATCATTGGAACAGTTCCCCATGCGTCGATGTACAAAGCGGCTTCGATTGCAGGGATCGGCAGAGACTCGTTTACATTGCTTCCGCTGAGCGATGAGCAGCCGTGGAGATTTAACGTAGAGGCGCTCGAAGCTCATCTCTCGCGTGGACCCCCGGCCATCGTGCTTGTCAGTGCTGGGGATGTTAGCTGTGGGCGTTTCGCGACCAACGGGGAAGAGTTGGTGCGAATCCGCGCACTGGCTGATGAGTATGGTGCATGGGTCCATGTCGATGGAGGTGCGATAAATGACCATGTTCTGATCTGACAGCCGTTGACGTCATACCTGCAGCGTTCGGTCTACAAGCACTCATCTTACCCGAGAAAACAGAATACAGAATCATTGCAGGGGGGATCTCTGGTATCCTGCTGGCCGACTCACTGGCCGGTGACGCCCACAAGATGTTGAATGTGCCATATGATTGCGGGTTCTTCTTCACTCGTTACCCTGATCTCCAAGAAGCGGTATTTCAGAACCCCAATTCGCCATATCTAGCCACCCAAGCCTCCTCTACTCCGTCTCCGTTGAATATGGGCATCGAAAATAGCCGTCGATTCCGGGCGTTGCCGGTATATGCATCACTCCTGGCTTACGGACGCGATTGGTTCTCTCAACTTCTGGAGCGCCAGATTCTGTTGGCTCGCCGAATTGCAGAGTACATCGACCGCTCTCCACGTTACGAGCTGTTACCGGATTCGAGGATCGAAGCAGTATACATCGTCGTCCTGTTTCGAGCCCAATCCGAGGCTCTCAATGCCCGTCTGGTTTCGGAAGTCAATGCGACAAATCGACTTCGTCTGACAGTTGTTGAATGGAGAGGAAGACCTGCAGCTCGCATGGCTATAGCGACCTGGCGGGTTGAGATTGAACGTGACTTTGAAACGGTGAAGCAGATTCTGGAAACAGTGGTATACGAGGTCCAAGCTAGCTAGTTGTATTGCCTCCAGCCATCCTGTCTCTTGCCGATCTTTGTAATGGCATCCCTGACGACGAGACTGGGGAGCGCTTTCTTGTCTGGTAGAACCAAACTCTTCTTGGCTTCTGGGCTCATCAGCGCACCCTTCGTATAGTAGTCTGCCCACAGATCCCCTTGTACAATGTGGGGATTCAGCAGGAGAAAGCGGGCAAAATCGTCGGATCCCTCGGCAGTAGGCGGTGGACTATCGGGAAGGCTCCTGATGCCGAAATGGATCATCTGAATCCAAAAATAAGTCATGGTGAGGTGGAATGTCCGTCCTCCAGTCTGTTCCGGACTCTCGGCTATGTAATGTTGTATTCCGGCCAGAATGAGATCTTTGCCTAAGGGATTCTTCAGCGTGGGAGTGAGTAATTCCATACCTGACTCGCCTTTCTGACGTCCATGTTTGAGCAGGAGAAGATAAGCAAGACGGACATGCGTGTAGTGATCCCAAGCAGGAAGGCAGCGCTGTTCGAATTGCGATAAAAATTCGTCGCATGACGAATCTTCTTCCCACCGTGCAAGCCACGAAGAAAGCTTGTCTTCGATAGAATCAGTCCGCACTGGAGTAACAGGCGGACCGGGATCTCCCTTTCTCGTAGACTCTGCCGCAGCCAAAAGCCACCCAAACGCGTCGAGAAACACTCCGTTGCGCAGGTCTTGATTCAGCGCAGCTCCGACACAAAAAACACTCCGGCCTTTGATGATGGGGGCAATGCGTATTCTGATCTCATCCAGGGTCATGGCTTTGGGTAAATCCTGCTTGGTGGCAATGCTGGAAGAATGGTCAGTACGTGCACGATACGTGTCGAAGCGATGGCGAACACTAAAATCGGGCGATTGCGGGGCATGTATACTCCCGGTGTGTTGAGTCTCACATCGACCCGCTCGAATTCGGCGACAGTCTCATCGAGACGGCTGCGATCTGAGCTGTCGATCAGCCTTGCAGCATGAATCAGTGAATATCTGCAAGACATAGCCTGGTGCTCACCAAATCACAACATGCGACCGTGACGCAATTTCGACAATTATATGAGTCATGTGCTCGCGTCCGCATCCTCCGACGTCCCAGCACACCAGATTCAAGTTTTGCCCTTGGCGTGTGGGCAAGTTGACAGTCTCGACATTGAAGCCGATGGTGGGAATCGTCGTCACGATTTCACCTTACGAGGATGTTGGTCAGCCCGGTTGAGACATCGAGGCTTTTCTATCACTAACCAAAGACCAATCGATATAGAAGAGTAGTTTTCCCCGACGCATTGAGCCCGATAATGACAGCAACATACTCACTGCCGGGAAAGAGAACATTCATGAATCGACTCAAAATCGACGGCATGGCACCTGAAAGCGCTGTAGGATGGTTAAGACAGCACCGACTGCCACTATATATGCAGGCAAGCTCAGCACGGCCACTCTGGCAGTGCACCGCTGGCAGCCACGTCGCAGGTTAGATGAGCTTGACACTAGAGTCCTGTCAGATTGAGCATCCGCATGACATCGTGATTCGACAAGTATGATTCAGATCGTCAGATGAAGGGAAATCATGTTGCAGTGAGCGAAGCAATGTGTTGCATGACTGTACATAATGTGCATAGCGAGAGAGATAGTGAAGATGGTTACTATGGATCAATGAGTACGACCGATTAGCAGTGTGAGAGACGATAGACGCACGAAAGTGAGAGCTGCACCCTTTGTCTTCTTTTCTCCACCAAGCTCGAAGCTTGGAGTATTTTAGAAATTGAGACCCTGGGGACTTGTAGTGGACATACTGCTTGCAACGTTTGAGAGCCATTTGCATTTTATACTTGCACACAGTGCATTCCAGTCGAAGAACAACCTTCTTAGTAGTCTTCGCCTAGAAGGGAGCGGGTTGTCAAGGTATAAGCTGGTCTCGTCGCATGAGGTTACAGACCTTCTTGTGGAAGACGGGCTTAGTCTGACCACCGTAACCGGACTGCTTGCGATCGTAGCGACGTTTGCCCTGTGCAAACAAAGATGCCTTGCCGGTCTTGTATTGTGTCACCTTGTGAGGCCTGGAAGCAGCAGTTAAGACACGATGATGATTTGAGCATGAGCCATGGATATTGAGCCGTCTGGAGCCAGATCACTCATGCCACCATTCAATCGATCCAAACGCTCCATTCACCGGGAAAGGAAAGAGAAGAACAAGACGACGTACGTGTGCTTTTTGCAGGGCTTGCCCTTACAGTCTGCGCATCGCATTTCAGTTCTTCATCCCCTGCAGCCCATCCCTGCACGAAAACTTACATGTTCGGCGGGTCCTGGAGTCAGGCGTAAGTAAATGATGGAATGACACAGAGAAAGACGGACTTTGGGACGTTGACCATGTTGTTGGCGGCAGCGACACTTCAGAAGGAGAGGCGAGTGAAAGCACGTGACAATTTCCACGTGCCTGAACTGTGCAGCTCCGCGTACTTGAGTAGCCCTGAGACTACTTAATATTACTTAATACTGATGGCAGATACTTGCTGACTAACATGCCTGACCTGATCTTGATGTTGGGATGTGCCTGTGACGGCCTGAAGGCTACCATTGTGACTCACTTTACGAAGAGTTTATCATTAGGGCATACATTGTTCATACAGGAACATGGGATCCTAAGTTACACGAGACACGGTCAGAGATAAAAGGTGTCATGGAGATCCTGGACCATTTCGGACCAAGATAGCATAGATGGCACAGGCCTCCTCATATCTGGCATATTTCAGACTGAAATGAGCCATAGCAGCGCTATCAGCATCATCCCCAGCACTAACGAGACCGCGCTTCAACAAAGCCGAGTAAAATCGGCAAAGCTAATAAGGAATGGTTTATGGTCATGACTGGGAGCGTCACGATGTTACTCACATGGCCAGTAGCTTGAGCGACCCGATCGTCGCTGATGGATCCTTCTCGTTGCTCACGATCGCCCCGGTCAATCCATTCCATACATCCAGCGAGGAACCTTCCGAGGACCTCCATGCGGATCAGAGCGCCTACGGTGAGCGATTCTTCAGAGCGAGATGGCAGAACCGAGGCCTGAGTGACTGTTTCATCTCGCAAAAGACGACCCATGACGTCAAAAGATGGGAGCATCGGTGGAAGGGAGGCAAGTTCTAAAAGGATTGATGCAGTGGTCAACCCAGAGTGTCTGCTCTCGACAGGATCGCCATTGGCGAGTATCGCAGAAATGAGCCCGGCAGCCAATTCAGGGTTGGTTGCGATCAGCGGTGTCAAATCTGCATTGGGTACAAGCAAACGGGGGGCAGCCGCAGCTAGGGCTGGGAACAAGGGTGCCAGATGCTGAGCAGAGGTCAATTTGCTATCGAACAGATGGCTCTGATGGACCGACTCACACGCTGCTCCGAAAGAGACAGGACACGGGAGCGGGCAGCAAGCAATAACCTCAGTGCATGCGCGATGGCTTCAGCATATGTATCCTCGTCTGCTGAAACGACGCGCTCCGTGGCCGTGATTGCCTCGTACTGGATAATGGGGTCAGGAGAGACAAGGTCGTCATCTCTGTCAATTGCTTAGATGAGGACACTAAGATAGATTCTCGCACTGACAGATCGTGAAATTTATGATACAGTGAGTCGTCGAGAATTAGTTTCTTTGCTCTAAAATTGGGTGGTAACAGGGAACGCGAGAGCGCGCTTGGTGAGTAGGGCCCGATCTAAATGATGTCAGACCAAATAGAATCAGAATGTGGCCGTGGACATACATCTTCTCCGTCACCTTTCAAGATCTTCCACAACACCCAGACGAGAGGCTCGTTCGGTGCGATACCGCCACTGGAGTTGGCAACGGTAAGAGCTAATTCACGTTCCTTCACAAAAGTAATAAAGAGGACAGATTTGAAGGGGTTCATCCCGATCGGATGAGGAGAGTAAAGAGAGAACAGGATGAAAGAAACCAGAATCCGAGAGCTTAGCTGATGGCCTGTTCAACACATGTTCAAAGTCGATGATTTAGGAGCCCACACCTCAGCTGGAGTAGGCGGATCCAAAATAGGAAGTAGGGCGTCCAAGGCAAGCTGAAATGTCGATGTCTGGTGAGCGAGACGAGCGAAGGCGGGGGTGGCGGCAGAACATGGATATGAACTGGCACGGGTGAGGAGATTGGAAACCGAGGCGCGATCATCTTCTAAAGATGAGAAATGGGAGTGGTGAGAAGCCGCGCTGCCCAGCGGACTCAACACGCTGTGCATCGCGTCGATGGTCGACGGTCCACGACAAGTCGTGATCAGTATTGTGATGTCATCAGGCTAACACACCACAACTCGACGCGCTTCCAACCATCTCGCTCTCTGGTCAAACATGGCAGACGCGTCATCCTTGTCCATTGGAACGCACCCCGAGATATCATTAGGGAGCTTCGATGACGATCCACTTCAAAGAACTCCCGCAAAAGTACGAGTGCTATCTGCTTCTTCTGGTACCTCTGTGCCTTCTTCTGCTCCCCTCGACACGCCATCACCGCCTGGATTTTCGCGCCGTGCCACTGTAACAGTCGCGGATAGGCCGGGCTACTTTGATAATGCCGATGAAGATGAAGGTGCTGATTATGGCGTCGGAACTCCCGTTGCAACGCGACCGAAGCGTTCGGCTAGGCCATCCGCCGCCGCGTCCAAGGGGGCGCTCACTTTACGAGATCAGGAAAAGGTGTGACCGCCATCCTCTATACAGAGAATTTGCTGAGATATGGCATAGCACATAGACAATTTGAAGAAGGAGAACTTCAATATCAAATTGCGCGTACATTTCCTTGAAGAGCGCCTTGCGCAGCTAGCACCAGATCAAATTGATGCTGCACTGAAACAGAATATCAGTTTGAAGATCGAAGTTCAGCAGCGTGGCATGGAGCTGAAAAAACTCAAGAAACTGGTTCTTGAACTGGAACGTGAGCTGCAACGGGCCGGTCCTAAAACTAGGAATCATCACCGAGAACGGGAGCTAGAGGACAAGCTAGAGGAACGGGAACGGGAACTACGAGAACTTCGTCGTCGTGCAGCAAATGATGCCTCCGATCCTCTTCTAGCAGAGCGCAATGCAGAACTGGAGGAACAATTGGACAACATGCGTGGTCTGCTCGAAGATAATATGGACGAGCTGGAGCGATTACGCGATATTGTCGAGCGTCAGAACAATCAATCTGAAGAAGATCATGTCGCAGCGCTTGAGGCAACCGTCGCCGAACTCCGTGATCAACTTTCCGACCGCCACAATGAGAACGAAGATCTTGCAGATTCTCTCGAACAATTACGTCTGGAGAATGCCGAAATCCAGCAACAGCTTCAACGGACGGAAGCACACGAGCGCTCTGCAAGTCGAGCGATGATACTGGAGGAGCGCGAAGAGCGCGAGGCAGTGGAGGACGAGCTAAACAGTGCTCGCGACAAAATTGCTGCCGTCTTGATTGAGCTACAACAGAAGGAGGACGAACTGGAATTGAAGACCACAGAGATCGATGAACTTGTGGCCGAGCATGATCGAGTCGTGGCTGTTGTTGAAGATGAATGGAGAGGTGAAGTCGAGGAGGCTAGGAATCAAGTTGAAGAGTTGCGCGATGTAAGTCGCCTCTTCGTGTGTTTGGATGGTCTGGGACATACTCATGTGAACAGGTGCTCGCAGAGAGAGACGCGGAAGCAAAAGATCTCCGACTCAATATTGCTGAATTGGAAGCGAACACAAACGATTTGCACACAAAGTTCGAAGCAGCTCTGGCGCACCTCGAGCAAGAGGCTGACGACCGGGACACCGAGATCGAGAAACTTAGTTTGCAAGTCGAGAACAAGGACGCGGAGATTGAGAGATATGCCGATCAATTGGACAGCAAGGATGCTGAAATCGACAGGCTGGGAGAGCAGATTTTTGTTCTGGAGGATGAGACCGACCGGTTGAAAGAAGCCGTCGATGATGATGGCGCCGAGCGCGAGGGACTGGAGGGGCTGGTTGCTGCATTAAAGGAGGTCTGTCGAGCTTCAAATCATCTCCTTGGATACGTTCTGACAGTGGTAGAAAATGACTGGACTCAAGACAGAGCTGGCGGACATGACAGCGGCATTCGAGGAATCCAACGAAGTCATTCTAGGGCACCGAGCTCGTCAGGAAGAGCTTGCCACACACGTGGAAGACCTAGTCTCGCAGCTTCAGGTGTGCAAATCCACGCTCGACTCCACGAATAGGGAGCACGCCAACGACTTGCGTGAAATCAAGCGCAAGCTCGATGCCAAGGAATCCGCCCTACAGAGCGCACTAGACGATCTGGGCCGGACACAGGGACTACTCAGTGCTCACGAGGCAGATCTTGCTGCAGTACAGACTGCAATGCAGTCTCTCGAAGTTGATTCACGACGGGCCGGTGAAACTGCTTCAACGGCCCGGTTCTCCTTAGAACTGGAGCTCGATCGGGTTCGCCGAGACTTGGAAAGAGTTGAAGCTGAGCTGCTGCGATCACGAGCTGACCTCGCGAATAAAGACGCTCGTGGTCGAGCTGGAGAAGAGACTGTGGACTCCCTGCATGCAGAATTACTCTCGCTCAAAGCCGAACTGAGTGCACAAACACAGGCGCGTTTGAATGTCAGCGAGCGCTTGGACGCTGTTCAGTTGCTGCTGAGGACATCCGAAGCTGACTCGATAGGCCATAAAAAGCGTGTGGCCGAACTTGAGGGTCGTCTCAGCAAGGAGCAGCGAGCGCTACTATCGACAGAGGGCCAGTACCGGGATCAACTCACAGAACGCAATACTCTGCTGCTGACAATCTATCAATATCTTGACCGCATCCTTGGTGTCGAAAAAACACCTGTGTGTGTATTAACTCGAACCTGAGCGCAGACTAATTTTCTCTCAGAAGAAAGGCAGTCAAGCAGAAACTAAACCTTTCACCAACTTTGGTGTTTTCCATGACAATCTCATCTCTCGTTTGAAGACACTCAGCGGAATCCAAAGCCAGTTTGACAAGCGAGTGAAAGATGCCGAAGGGCGCTTTGGCGAGAAACTAAAGGAGATGAACAAGCAGCTCGACATGCGATGGAAACAGATCGACAAGTTTGAGGCTGGGGTCAAGGGTTATGCTGAGGCTAAAGCTGGCTGGCGGAAGAAGATGAGCGTGAAGGAAGGCGAAGTCGATGCCTTGCGAGCCACCAACGTCGATCTTTCTAATCAGCTCTCTCGGAAACAGAGCTCCTCTGATCCGATGGAAGTACGCTCATTGTCGACACGAGCTGCAAATGCAGAGCGGCGACTGAACAACGCCCAGAACCAGCTGTTGGCGACCGAGGAGAAAGTTGCACTGATGACGCAACGCAGTGCTACTGCAGACTCAAAGTGGGAAGCTCGGGTGAAGGAATACGAACTTCGCCTGAAAGCGGCTGAAGAACGGGTCAAACGGGAACGACAAGGCGGAAAGGAGCGAGTTGCGGAACTGGAAAGCAACATCAAGTCTGTCTCTCATTTGCATTGCATTTCTTACTGACATGTCTAATCTGTAGAATCCTACAACGTCAACTCGACTTGGCTCTCAAACGAAGCCACCAATTGAATGAAGTCGTGGACGCTGCCCAACTGCCAGCTAGTGGGTCTGCCAACTCTCTGTCCTCTCGATGATTTTCGCTTTTGCCCTGCTTCGCTCTCAATCACATGCTCATTTTATTGTATCAATAATATTTGTATCACTTACTTCACGTCAAGTCTAAATCCTCAATCAAAACATGCAGTCCGGTGTTGGAGTCGCAAGCTTGAAGTATAAACAGTATTCAAGTTCACGTGATACATCAATCAGATGATCACGCTGCTGTGACCACACGCGCTAGTACAGGCTAGTACCAACTCTCAAGCGTTCCAACTTTGATTCAACTCATATGCCACCCGGGGGCCGCAAGAGCAGCATCGGACTTGTGCGCCGGTCTGCGGCCCAAAAGTCCCATTTGCCATACCGTGGAGACGATCCAAACGTCGGACGCAAGACCGGTGTTTCAATACAACCTATTCAACAGGACTCTGATGGATTTGAGCCGTTCGACCAGCTGATTGGACAAGCCGATGGACTCCAGCTATCACAAAAGCATCAGAAGAGGAAGAAGAATATCACCAATGAGAAGCGAATAGAAAGTAGTGAGGAACAGGAGGAACAGGAGGAGGGGTACGGGGAGATGAGTATGGACGTGGATAGTGCGTTCTTATTCTTCGCAAAGCAAATCAGACTCACGTCGAGTGCAGGCCCGGTTCAAAGTTACTCGAATGTGCGCCCGCCTCCATCGCCGCGCACACCTCGTCCTCGACCCGTCGCTCGCACGTCTCATGTTGATTTCGATCGGGTTCCTTCACCCAAATATCGCTCTGTGCGGAAATCTCTCCCCCTTTCGTCCCATCTTCGTGCTCAAGAGCTATTCGACCTGGATGAGGAGGAGGAAGATCGCGCCACAGGTGCTGGCTACTCGCCTCGTGAGGTTAGCTTCACTGAGATGGATTCCCGCAACGATTTAGACGAGGACGAAGACCCAACCCCCAAGAAGAAACAGTTATCCAACAAGCTCAAAGACAAAATTCGTCAGTCGGTTGCTAGAATCTCCTCGCCAGCAAACCAATCCCACAATCCGTCGCCGAACAAGGGAAAGCGCAAGGCTGTTGAAGACGTCTCCCCAAGCCATAGCAAACGCCGGGAGTTTTTGCAGGAACTATATGAAACCGAACGCGAAATGACCCAATACGAGCCGCATACAATTCAAAGCGATCGGGATCTGCCACCGTCGGACCCAATCCAGGCAGAAGTGGCTGAGGAGCCTGCACCCTCCCCGAAATTCAAATCATCGAACAAGAAAATGACGTTGAAACCTTCTACTTCTCTAAAGGAAAACCGCGAAGGTGTGTGCATATATCCTGGTTGATCATGCTGCTGATGGTGTCCGAGTGCGTACGAAGCGCAGCCCACCTCTAGGCAGTGTTCGCCGATCCAGCCGCGTGCCATATCCTCCGCTCGAATGGTGGCGGAATGAGAAAGTGGAGTATGGTGGCCGAGATCCAAAAGCGGGACCGATTCTCGTTCCGCGAATCAAATCTATTATTCGTATACCCAGGGAACCTGTGGTTCCGTTGGGTACGAAACGACGTGTGAGACGACGGTCGACGCCTGGGCCCGACAAGCCAGTGAAAATAGTCGAAAAGATCGTAGAAAAGGTGATCGAGATCGAGATCGAGAAGTTGGATCCAGAGGCAGGTTGGGATGATGAAACAGATCCTTTTGCTACTGTCGTGGATTTTCCGGGACCGGGAGAGATTCGCAGGCGTGAGTCTTTCACCCAATTCTGGCGAAATGCCGCCTAACAGGTAACTTCAGAGGTCGCCTTCACAGCGAAAATGTTCAATCCCCAGAATGCCGCAAACAACGATTGGTCCTTCCAGCAAATTTTCCTAGACGGCGAATTCATGGCTGCCGGACAAATGATTATTCCATCGAAATCCCGGAAGCCAAGCAAGCCGACCAAGGATAACACTTTTGTGAGTAGTGGATATTTTGTGTTGGTCATACCGATAATATCACTAGATATTCTATGTGGTGGAAGGAGCTGTTAAGCTTAGAGTGAATCAGACGAACCTCCTGGTTGCCACTGGCGGTATATTCATGGTGCCACGAGGTTTGTTGTCCTGTTCCAAGCTTCCGACTGCTAATGTGTCAACACGTAGGCAACACATATTATATCGAGAATGTCGGCAACCGGGCCGCCAAACTATTCTTCACCCAGGCCCGCAAGCCCAAGGAAGCTGACGAGGGGCTCCCAGAACGCAGCTCTTCTCATGTAGCGCCGGTGGGCCGCGCCGTGTCAGTCGCAGGTGGTAATCCATCCTATCGTCGGGATCCCAATGTCCCTTACCTCCAGCGAGGCAGGAGTGCCCATGTCTGAACTTTGTTTATGTACGGATCATGCAAGTATACAGCAATATTAAATGTAACACGCATCAACCGATTTTCACGGTCTTTGCGTATAGGCTTTCCACAACCTTGCCTACTTCCTGCAGGGTGTCAATGGCAGTAGTATAAGTTGACTGCAAATGCCAAGTCATCCGTCAGTGCTGGTTGTAGATATATAAGCGATCCACTCACGTCCTCTTCCGTGGCATCGAAAATCAATAGACAGCCGCGTCCTTGGTCCAACACACCGTGCAGCACTTTGTCAAGAATCATCTGAGAAAGTCTGGGTGAAACAATCAGAATCACGAAGCGACACGATATCAATGGACACACTTGGCCTCGACCGCCTGCCGACCCTGACCAACAACCTGGCTCACGTATTCCAGCTCTACCACAGAATATGGCTCGATGATGCGTAACAGATTTTGCTCCAGCAAGGTATCATACAGCGCAGCAAGATGCGAGCGGATAGTCGGATCTGAAGAGAGTTCTGCGGGACTACCATCAGCTCCGCCTACCTGATTGGAGGCACGAAGATCTACCGTCTTTGTAGTCTCTCAGAGCTTTCTCAAAGTCAGCGAGGTTTCGGTCTTGATGAGCTCGAGCGATCGCACGCATGCTCTCGACTTCTCGCAGCTGGGCATACTTGAGTGCAAGCTTGATACTCAATAACGAGAGGACATCTTCCGGCTAGAGCAAGATTACTTTTCGTCTTCACTCTTGAGATGCAAAGACTCACCAGATTGAGCATGACCTTGCATAGTAACATATATTTTAGAGCCTGTAAAGCACCCTTCCCCTCCATGTCAGTCTCCGTGTCCGCAGCTACAGGGAGGGTCCCATCGGCACCCTCACTGTCACGCTTGGAGGTAGGCACAAAAGAAGCAGCGGTTGCCTGTGACTCGAAAGCCTCGAAGAAGTAACTGTAGGCGGTCTTGTAATCTTTGTCCTCGGCGTGCAGAATACCCGACTGGATATCGAGTGAGGACTGTAGGGCGGGTGGTGTATAGATGGATGCAGCAGATGTCCTCGCAGAGGTGAGCCCCGCCTGAGATGTTCAATTGACACTCCAGAACGGTTGACTGTGTTCTGTTGCTCACTTTGGCCTTGGTCATATTGCCCACTCCTCGATAAACTTTGCTCTCTAACAGATGGACTTCCGTCAAGATGAGCTTGTCATCTAGCCGCCTGAGTTCAGCCAGAAGACTTTCAATTATAGAAAGCGCGGGTCGATATTGTTGCAGGTCGAGATGTCTGTGGCGATTGAGCGTGCAGTGGACTCAACAACCAAGGCACATACATGGATGCCAACCGCGTCTCCAGACTATGTTTCAAGAAGATTCGCTTCTCATCTTTAGCCCATGCGATGTTTTCCTCCAAGACACGTATTTGAACCGTTGTGCTGTTGGGGATGGACGAGAAGTGACCGAGCAGAGTCCTGACTGAATGAGCATCAGGATCTGGTGGAGCAAGCAAGAGCTATCGAGGTAGCGCACTCAATTTTGCGGTCTTCGCTTTCGCGGTACTTGAAGAGAAGAATCCCCGCGAAAGATTGATCACTTCAGCCACTCCTTCTGCATTCCTGTAGGAATGCGTCAGCGATCCCATTCTTTCATTGGAACGGAATGACGAAGACACACTGTTGATCGCGATACAGAGTGCCAAGTCTCAAGAGCGCGGCCTCTTGCTCCCGAAGAACCTGAGCCTGAGCTTCGGGAGAGAGATTGGGAGTTGCACCTATGAGACTGGTTATAAGCAAAGCAATTCATTACTGAGTGTATCAGAAGATTCACGTCGTGAAAGTACATCTCTATAGATTTGTTCGGCCTTCTGAGAGGTCGTTGATGGTGTAGAGGCGAGTGCGAGGAGCTCTGCAGTTGTTTGCACCATAGAGGGAGACGCGTCGTTCAAGATGTTGTACCTTGTTGCTCTCACATCAATCACCGGTCTTTTCGGATCGTCATACGGCCTTTTTTCGCGCTGCATCTTGAACAACGATGGGAAAAACACAAAAGAAACGCGCGATGAGGCGGCACAATCCTGTCCGGGTGCCTGACTCGCATCTTCCCCAAGGGCTTACATCTGCGGCGGAAAGCTCTTCGAAAACACAGGCAATCTTGCCGATTATGCAAAAGGTCTCTCAGCATACATTCTTTGCAGCGCGCTATATTGATTGAGTAGATGCAAGGCACAGATGCGGGAGAGAGAAAATGGGCTTGTGTTGCTGTATCCAATATCATCCAGAACGATCCGTCAACGCGGAGGTTGCTACAGGGTAAAAACATAGTCGGGGCACTTATAACACGCTTGACGGATAGTGAGGAGGAGGTTGTCATCGAGGCTATGGGTTCTCTCAGGTATGTTCCCTCCAACCTCGTATGCTAAGATCTCTCAAATTCTTTGTGCTCGGGTCAGAAATCTTGCCATCGACGGAGGATACGACATTTGCGCAGAAATGTACAATAAAAGTATCCTCGTTCCGCTCAAGACATTTGTGCCCAAGGTTTGTATCTCCAGTCGCTCTCTGTAGCTAGGCTCACTTATAGACATCAAGATCGCCGCCACTCTCGCTCAATTTTTAGAGCAAGGAGTAAAGCACGCACCAGAGAACGCGCAACGATTGATGTACGAATTTGCGGATAACGTGATCACCGTACTGTGGTGTCTTTCGTGAGACATTTTCTTGGACTTTGGTGCGATTCTGACCCATCTAAGAGAGACATCGAATAAAGCCTTGAATGCTATCAACGAGATGAAGCTGGCTTCTTTCCTCATGTCCTTCTTGGCCGTACGCGACAAAATGCCACTAGCTACAATCACGGCTGCAGGTCTGTCAACTCCACAAAGTGTTTCAATCATCACTCTGAACTATCAAGCCCAATGCCTTTATGTCATCACTGACGACAACTATGCCGCCATTAGCGACGTCCGGTCTGATGGGGGGTACATCTCATGCCTGATGTCCATCGTTACCTCCGAAGGCCTGAGGTCGGACCCCGGCCAAACAGCGGATCCTAGGATAATCATGTTGCGTGTGCTGGCATCTGGTGGGAATCAAATCGTCGAAAAGATACAGGTCATAATTTACAGTTGCAAGGGATCTTGGGAAACGTATCACCCATAACGCCGCCCTCTGCCGCCTCTGCCCTTGATATCGACAGGGATGTTATCCTACCACAGCTTTTGCCGGTTATTTCTTCACTTTCCCTAAGCGAAGTCTCAAGATCTGCCCTACAATTGATCGAAGAACAGGTCAATATTGAAACATGTGTTGGTTTGATCTAATATATCTGCGCAGTCGACTGTCCCTTCAATCGACAAACTCTCTCTGAAGAAATCGCCCAAAACCGATCACAAGTCTGCATCCGAAGTTGAATTAGATCGTCTCGAAGGACAGTTGCGCACGGTGCAGCTCGCTTTGGAGATTCTAACGGGTGTATCGGCGGCTCTCCCAGACCCCGAGTCTGTGGAGGGCGTCGATGATGAGCTCGAGAATGAGGTTGTAATCGAAGACGAAGAAACTGTCGACGAGGATATAGCTATGGATGTCGTCCCGGACGAGGTGGAAAGGGCCACACAATCCCTGCCCCAGATCGTGGAACCACTGCTAGCGTTGATTCAACCGACAACATTGTCCTTTCCTCCCCATGCTTCTCCGTCACCTCATCCTCCAACTACCTCCGCTATGAGTGCTGTCCACATCGCTGCCCTCGAATGTCTGAATAACATATTTCTCTCGCTGGCGCGCCATGACACTGTCATAGAGATTGATGCCGGTCGGACGGTTTGGAATGCCGTTTGGTCGTCCTTGGCAGCGGTCGGCACTCAGATTGTTCTCGGTCAGGAAAGGCGGCAAGCGATGTGGGAAGTCGCCGCTGGAGTCCTCTGGGGTGTAGCTAGTGTCTGCAAGGGGAAACTGGTGGGTCCGTTGTTCCTGTCCTTGCGGCCTGGCCTATTTCTGAACTCAGGAACCTGACGAGGGTCAAGTGCAGGCGCTGATGGCACTCTGCGACAGCGCTGGATCAGATGCTCAGTTACGGGTCAAATGCATTGGGACACTTGAGTGTCTAGCCCGGAACACTGCTTTCATGGAGATCAATGCTACAATTGGAGGATATCTGTTATCTATGCTGCCCTCCATGACCGAACCTTCCCCGGCAGGCACAGAGCCTATGCTCCAGGCCGCATCGTCTATCATCGATATCTATTCTGATGAGGGCGCTCCATACGATGCCAACTTTCGTGCTGGCGGATACCTTGTGCGATTGACGGAGAGCGTGGATGGTTTAAAAAAGGCCGTGCGGGGAATTGATCGGAAGAAGGAGTTGCAGCTGAGGAGGAGGGGGGAAGAGGTCCGGGATAATCTTGTGGCATTCATCCAATATCGAAAAAAGCTGAAGCTGTAGTTCTCTCAGTGTTTCTGTTTCCAAGACTGATTTCATCAGTGACGTCGCTAAGAAATCTGATGGCCGTAGTCTGCTACTCTGGAATGTGTCAGTTGTCACATTCAAGCGTCAACGGTCACTCTCCCCGACCACGACGCCCATACCACCTTTCCCGGCTTCGCTGTCCATCTCATTGTTCTCTTTTCTTCTTTCCTTTGACTTTTTCTTTTTGAATTCTCTCGCCTGTGCTTCCTGCTCGAATGAATTTCTTCAAGACTAAGCAACGAACACCGCCTGATCTGGTCCGCTCTCTGCGCGATGCTATTCCCCGTCTTGAGCAGGGTGTACCTGGAAGCGAGTCTCGGAGGAAGGTTCGTAGACTATCTTATCTCCCAATCGCGTGTGAAATACTTGGGGATGGGTTTAACCCCTCGCATCCTCTACTTACTGCCGCTCAGGCAAATGAGGATATCTCGAAGAACCTCCAACACGTCAAATCTATACTATATGGCGATGGGGGTGCGCGAAGTACCCCGTCATTTTTATCTTCTAGTATCTTACATCAACTTTGAAGACCCTCTTCCAGAGCTGGTCGCGCAGTTGGCAC